CNCTTTCACACACTCACACACACACACACACACACACACACACACACACACACACACACGTGGCCATCTGTCTCAATAACCATGACTAGGCCTTGGATGCCGAGATGACCGAACTACAAAGCGTCATTCGCGCTGCCGCTGCCGGAGGTTTGTCATAGCAGGCTCTGCTTTTCATGGCCCACGTTGACCAGCAGGCACATACAGGTGAGTGTGTCTAGCAACCACTTTCTCACAATGATGGACTTGTGCTGCCATACAGCATTGAGCAAGGACACAGCTCAAGAACACATCCACCTTTCACATGGTGCTTTTGTCCACGATGAAATGGTAAGTGTGGCACACTTCTTAGCAGCTCGCATTTCCAGCACCCGCACGCGGCTAACCGCACACACCACCCATGGAAATCCTCTGGCGCAACCTTTCAGGTGGATCCGGAGACCGGCTTTACGCTCAGTCATGGCACAACCGTACGCTGCAAATTGCTGCCTCAACATCCCTCCACGTTTTGTACCCCATCACACACAGCAGGGCTCGAGGCCATGGAAATCAGACCACATCTTGGTGGCCTCTCCGTCTCATCTATTTCCCATGCGTGTGCTTCTTGTATCTAGGTGTCCATTGCCACGGCAGCGGACGTGACTGCAACACAACTCAGCGTACGCATCGTAGCGCTTACACCAATTGTGTGTGACCATGAAGAAATTTCTCTTGGAGATCAAGGTCAGCCATCTCGCCCCACTACTTTGAACAACACTAAACAAAACGACCTTGAGATACCCTATTTTTCATTGTTTTTGTTTTGTTTTGTTTTTTTGTTTTTGTTTTTTGTTCTTTTTGTTTTTTTTTTTTTTATCTATTTCTCATCTCAATGTGTACTGCTAGAAATTTCAACCGGCACCACCGTCGATGTGCGTTTGCATTTTGGTCTGGCCGACAGCCTTCCCCCCTCTGCACTAGAGGTCAAGCTTGTTGTAGATTGTATCATCAACGGTTTGTTTCCCTGCGTGCATCATGCCTCGATGCCACCTATACGAGCCTTCTTGTTCACGAGCTGAACGCTGCCACTCGCCCATGCTCATGCCGAAACTCCTTAACTGACCGACTGAACATAATAGACGAGCCCCACGTGTACGACTACACCTTTTCCCTTCCTCTTGATATGGCTCTGCAGCCGGCTGCCGCCGAAAAGCAAGCTGATTACAAGGTCATTACAGCGCTTGCCTACACCAATGCTGTCGGGCGTGCTCTCTGCTGCTCCTGAGCACTGGCAAAGTTGACGCGTGGCTCACCATTTTCAAGCAATGTGGCTGGTCATGCCGGCCCCACTCACCAATGTGCCATCCAATGCTATACATAGTTGACCATCCTAACCAACCAGCCGCCCGTGGGCATGAACACCCTCTTTGGAGGTGCGTTTTTGGACGAGTAGCGTGCCTCTCGCCCGCACCTTGGATGCAGACCATCTGCTTTGAGTGGACGCTGAATAGGTTCCCCACTCTCGCGTACGCCTCACCCAATAGACGCATTGGAGGGCCTGCACGGCAACGAAACCCCAGCGATTGGCTTTCGCATGCAGCACTCGGACTCACTTGTCAGCGTCATTGCTGCAAAGACGTCCGGTCGCTATCGTGTTCAAAGCAATGACTTTGCTGCCCTGGCTATCCCTCTCCAAGCCCTCACAGCAGCATTGCATGCTCACTTTAAGTTCGTAGTGCACCGCATTCCTCAAAGCTGTTTGGACAACTCTTCATGAAACGGGTCTGCCGAGCATCGTTGCCCAGAAAGACTCTCACCGCGTGTCATCTTGTGCTAGACGCCAAGGTCAAGAGGTCAAGGTTGAATTTGCAGAGGCCATGCCCCTCGATCCCTACTTCCGCATCCTGGAGCAACACTTTGAGGTCTGCCGCAGTGCTCACTTGTAGCTCGACCATCGATGCCTGGGCCATCAAGCTCATTTCTTGGCACTGAAACGCCTCTTGCCTTTAGATGCGCAATGCTATCCGCGCTTTGCGCGTGGCCCTCGATGAAGCGGCCACGCAGTATCGCTTGTTGCAAAAGCGACTTTTGGCGCGTTTCAAGGACCCCTCACCAAGCAACATCGACCAGTTCACGGCGCTCCTTGAAGGCAGCTATCAGCAGGCATGTTCCCGCTGCACTGAGCGATGCCCGTGTCATGAGCTTGGGCCAGCCAATTGTGTCTAGCACTTTTGGACGCGGCTCCATTTGTTATGATCATAATTTGAATGTCCGCATCACCTGCAGATTCTGGCGCTCGCTGAAAGCGATGAGGAAGCCCAACGAACCTTGTTCGAGGCTGCGGGGCACCTGGCCGCAGCCACTGCTGTCATGCAGGAGCTTCTTCGGTAAGCACGTCGGCATTCAGACACATCCTCAGATTGTTGCAGGTGCTGACGCTGTCCACATTGCCTTGACGTTCCCAGCTTGAAAAATCTGTGCGCTCAAGCCCGACAAGCTCTTCCCATGATCCTGCCCCTCGAATTCTCCATGGATCAAGAACAGGTAGGCCTGACACCGACTACTAGCATAAGGCAGGAATATTTGAACAAAAACTTGATCTACCGCTGCTTTGGCACCACTTGCTTCATTTTTTTCCTTGCGCGCTGCAGAACTGGGAGGAAACCGTGCAGGCTTCGCTTTTGCATCTCTCGCGGACGGTGCTGGCCAAATCCTCCAAGGATGAACTTTGTACGTGATATGCACTATTTCGGTTCCGCTCGTGCCAAGTCAATTCCGCTTGATTACGTGAAACGACCCATATTGAGCCGTGGCATTGCGAATCCCCATGCGCTTGCCCACACACGCGCGCACGCACGCACAAACACACACTGTATCTGGCACAGCCAGCTGCAACCTCACCGCTTTGACGTGGCCACATTCGTCGCCTCACATGCTTCGCATGCGTTGTAACCCATATATGCCGATAGTAACGCCGACTTCCCTGAAGCTGGATCATACCTCGGATCGGCTGCGTGGCTTGCTCAAGCTCTTTTTTGAGCGTTTGCCGCAAACCACTGCTGAAGATTGGGAGCAGCTCAATGAGTAACATCGGCAAGCCATATCACAACCCCTTCAAGCCGTGCTGCTATTACCCGTGCCATTGAGACTCGACAGCATTTGGAGCATATCTGTCTGCATGTTGGGTAGCTCAAAGGTTTGCTGTGTCGATCTCGCGGCTGACGCTGTCTCGGCACCTGTGGTTGGTGGCGTTGGCTGCCGATCATCAGAGCCGCTGGCTTCCCGCAAAGCAGCTTCGAATTGGCTTGAGCCAAATAGGCTCGTGGTTGTCGGAGCTACGCTGCTTTCTGTGGTCAAAGGTGACAGTTCAGGCTCTTCGCTCACACTCTGCTGCGCCGTCTTCAAGCTGGAAGGCCGCTGAACAGTGCGCGCTGCGCGCGCAACAGTGGGCACCCCAACACTCATCGCACTCTGTCCCACAAAGACAGGTGGCTGCTCATAATTGAGGCTTGGTGAACTTGCTTGTGATCGAAAGGACGGCTTTTTCGAAAGAGAGGTTCGCTGGGAATAGCTGGGCGTAGCAGCTGCTGCAGCTCGCAGCCATTGCGTGACCTTTTCTCGCATCCGCTCCTTGGTGAACGGCTTGGAAATGTAGTCATTCATGCCCTGATCCAAGCATTTCTCCTGATCCTCGGGCAAGCTAAAGGCCGTCATTGCTACAATGGGGACCTCGCGGCCCAATAGATGTTCGTGCTCGTATCGGCGAATCAACTTGGTGGCTGCAAAGCCGTCCAGGTTAGGCATTTGGCAGTCCATCAAAATGAGGTCAAAGGGTCCTTCAGTGGCAAATTTGTCGACGGCCTGCTGTCCGTCCCGAGCCAAAATGACGTCCTTCATGCCCATCGAGTCCAAAAAGCGCAGAGCAATCTAAAAGACAGAAACATGCTGGCGTATGAGGTACGATGGAGAATTTCTCGAGGACGACTAGATTCGACTGTTTGCATCGGGCTGACCAACCTGCACATTCAGCGGGTTGTCCTCCGCCAAAAGAATGCGTGGCAACTAGGATGAGTAGTTGAGGGAGGAAAAAGGACAGATGAGCGTACAAACGCCATTTCTTGATACACGCACGTAAATCATTCAAACACGAAAGGAATTTTGTCGATCACCGACCGAGGACGAGACTGGGCTGGTGGCACTTGTCGCAGACTGCTCCTACACCCAAACGTCAGCCCACGTGACCATCAACATATGTCAGTCAGAACCACGTCCGCCCGTTGATAATCTCAAGTCCTTACCAGTGCAATTTGAGCCACGGTTGCTTCTGGGACTGTCTCCTCAGGAAGCTGAAAAACGCGGCGGCGAGGTGCATGTGCTGATAGTGGTCGATTGTGCCGGCGGAATGAAAAGGCATCTTGCGTCCGGTGCACGGCCGTCACGTCTGGAGAATCGTGGTTCTAATATGGAAATTCCACACCACGGGGCGTGCTGGTGAGACTTGTGCGGACTTCCTCACGATCTGGTGCCGTCAAGTGAGTCCTAGAATGTTTGTGACGGCCGAAAGCAATCTGGTACAGACCGGCTCATCGTAGACCAGCGCATTCCACAGCGAGAGGCGTTTGATTGGCTTGGCCAGCAAGACATGATCCGCACAACTTGCCCATTCTTCAGACTTGCCCGTTTGTAATAGACGCCGGTGAGAATCGTTGCAGAGGCACACAAAACTGCGAAAGAAGGCACCGCAATGAGCCCACCCAGGAAAACATTGCAAGGACTAAGGTAGGCCTGTGGCTGAGAGATCCCCAATAATAGCTTTGCCTCGACATACCGGCAGGAGAGAGACTTTTCCTCCTCAGATACGGCAACAACGTCTGCGTCAACAATGGCAACAGATATCTGATTCATTCGTTGTACGCCGTGCTCAGATTTCGCCTGATTCGGACCGACAAGATCCGAGGTGAGTATCAAACCCAGTCACAGTTGTAAAACGAAAGCATCAAACAAAATTCAGGTACCCAAGACCACCACCCCCTCCCTTGGTGAATGTTGATCTACGCACCGCCAAAAAAGCTGCGTTTACTGAGGTGCCAACAGAAAACTTCAATCCCCATCGTTTCAGATAATTGGCGACGATCTGGAGTCGGCAAGCCAAGACAACAAAGATAAAAAGAAAGAGTTCATTAGACGAGAAGCCCCAGAATAGGCTGCCATTCGCTTCGAGCCATATTGGAGGAAGATAGAAGTTTGCGGCTGGGGCTGAACCTTGGTGATACCCGCGTGCACAGAGCACACGAGTGCAAATTGACCCTGAAAACGCTTGGTGGCAATGCCTTGTAGTTCCGAGGCAAACGGAATCTATCAAGATCACACACACACACACACACAAACACAAACAAATTATGGCAAAGCAGCTCGCTGTTAGAACCGACGCAACATGGACTGGCATATGTACATGTCAAACACGGCCTGTACCTTGCAGCGCTTCAAAATAAACTCGGCACTCGGTTCGTAGGCCACGCGAGCAACCGTGGCTTCATTCTCAAACTGCGAGAAGCAAACATGCGTACGCGGTCAGATACCAATGCTTGCCATGGAATGCTTCCAAGGTTCAGGCCAAGCCACAATGCATATGCACAAGCCAATCTCAGCGCCACCAATGAGCTCACCTCATCAGCAGATTCGATACGAGGGGGCTGCCAGCGTACGGGAAGAGTGAACCAAAACTCCGAGCCCAGCCCTTCGCCAGCTGACCATACCCCGATGGTACCACCCATCAGCGAGACGAGCTCGGCAGAAATGGCGAGTCCGAGCCCCGCGCCACCCACGGCATTGGTGATGGAATGCGCGCCTTGAAAAAAGCGCTACATGCGGCCCATTCAGGTCAACAAGTGAATCATGAGGTTTGGCCTTCTGCAGGTAATATAAAGCCAGTGCAAACTGGACTGGAAGTAACGACTCGTTTCCAATGGATACAACCTACTTCAAAGAGGTTCAGCATGGTGTCTCGATCCATACCCACGCCCGTATCCTTAACTTGAAAAAGCACGTGGGGTACAGCTTCATCCACGCTCTAAAATCACACCGTAAAAGGCAAACGTCAGTCCTCCGCCAGGAACAGACCCAGACTTGAAACTGGCTGTGGAGTTCGATTTGAGCCATACTGGAGAGGCATAGTCGTCATCCGGATGCAAATCGATGCAGAAGAGCGAGAGCTCGACATTGCCTTGCTCGGTGAACTTCATAGCATTGGTAGCCAAATTCGTAAGCACCTGCAATAAAGGGAGGCATTAGCTATTTGCAATATCTCTAACCACGGCCCCACATGAAAAGAAAATCAAATTGCCAGAGCAGAAATCACGTTTGAAATCCGGCACGACAATGAAAGAAAAAAAAAGAGCGGGAGAAGAACGGGGGCGGTAGACCAGCCGGCTCCGTGGGTGAACGTACCTGACGGAGCCTCAATGAATCGGCATAAAGCTGCAGAGACACAATCATGAAAAGTGAGCTGATCAAGGAGTAATACTGACAGGAATTGCCAACCAGTTGCCAAAAAATAGGTGATGGGCGCGGTGGCACGATGCTGGGCCGATCCGTTTGAGACTCGCCCCAATGATGCCATCTTGATGCATCACCCCTCGCTCTCAGGGTTTGATTTGAGCCACGCACCTCAAATTGAAATTCAGGCACCTCTAAACGGGCAATGACCTCGACATCCTTGGTTGCCCATCTGCACCGAGTTGAAGTGTGCATACCATGAGAACAAGTAGTCTCATATGGAAGCTGTGTAATTGGCAGAAAAGTGGCCAGCAGTATTCGTGTTATGATCAAATCAGTCAGGAAGCTGTTGACGGACCGTAGCGCCAAGAGCTGGGTAATGTCTTCCAGCAGCTCGCAGGCATCAAAGGTTTTATTAGCCAGCTTGAAAGAAGAAGTTTGCATCTATGAAGCACAGCGCATTGATGCGTGCACGTGAGAGCGAAAGCATCGAGCCCAACCAAGACGCAGCCAAGCGACATACCTTGGAAATGAAAAGGATGTCGTTGACCAGCGCCTCGAGCGTCTCAGAGCTTCGAATGAGCTGTGATAGATCGCTAATGTCCTGCTGGGATGCATTAGGGTCCTCTGAACTGTGGTTTTGAGAGAGCAGGAAACGTTAAGATTCAAAGTCAGCGCCGGAGATTCAGACAGAATAAATGCAAAGTGAGCATCGGGCGGCAGTTGGTGACGTGAAAGCGCACCGACTGTCCAAGAGCATGCGACCCATGGATAGGATGGCATGAAGTGGCGTGCGAATTTCATGACTCATGTTGGCCAAGAAGGTCGTTTTGACCTCAACCTCGTGCTTTGCCATCTACCAGTGAGTCGAATCAAATCACCGCCAGCATCACATGTTGAGCAGATGAGGGTTGTCCAAGCACGGAAAAACACATGCGGGCCCAAAATCAGTCGGTGGTATCATGAGAGCCAAAGTAAGAGACTGTCATGTGTCAACAATAATTGGGGCTCGAAGATCAAGAACATGGACGGCGAAAAGCAACGACGACACACCTCAGCGGAGCGCTCTGCTTTGGCTGTTTGCTCGAAAAGCATTGCGCCGACCTATGGCAAGCAAATAGGCGAGGACAAGGACGGCGCTTCAGAATATCAACGCGGAGAAGAGTCCAGAAGGATTGTCCTATGCTGCCACTGGCCTGCATACCCACAACGTACCTTTTGACGACCGCAATAAAGAATGAAGAGAGCAAAGGCGAGGAAGACAAGGACGCCACCTATGACCGGCAATATGACGGTGCGGTCACATTCGGGGCAAATACCCCGAACTTCATCGCAAACCTTTGGTTTTTGTTTTTGAAATAGATAAAAAATGGTACAACAAACAGGTTTCAAGATCAGCAGGCAATAGAGACCTTGGCCAACATCAATGTTGACGCTGGAAGCACAAATGTGTAGCGGCCAACCAAAGCACGTACACACACGCACCCACCTCGGGCTCGATCGCCACTGCCACGGGTAAGGCGCTGGCATCGACGACGGTCATGCCAAACTCATCAAAGGCTAGGATTGGGACGGGAAGTGTTAAAGGTGCTTGCAGCTGCATTGTGACCGAGAAAGAGGTGGGCTGCAAAAGAAAAACGTCGGATTCGTCTGCTATTTGCGGCATGGTGGGAATAGCCTTGGTCAAAAGACGGTAGTCTGTGGTTCCCGACATGGTGGGAAAATGACTTAGAAGCACGTCTCGCGTGTACTGTGACAGCTCTTCCTGTTCGGACAGCGTCGTGTTGACCTGCTCCGAACTAATGTTGAGTGAAATATATAAAAAGGAGAGCGCCTCAAGCAACCGCATTTCCTCTTCGGCTACCCGACCGATCTGGCCTATATCGGTTTTTGCATATTGATCGGTCAGGCGTGAAAAGGATTTCAAAACAAGTTGCGAAAAGGTTGGCGCAGCAGACCGACCTGTGGCTTTCACTATGCGAGGCTCATTGGCGACCACATCTCGCGCCAGCTCGGGAGTCAGGCGTTGGCTGATGTACGCCTGTGCCACGTCAGAGAGGGCCCACTCACCAGTTGCGGTGGCATTATCCACGGGCCAGCCGGTGGTGATGAAAGATGTCGCCTCAAAGCCCTGGAAACTGGGGTGCGCTGCAGCTGTCAGGTTAAGGATGACGCGTTGGTACAGAGCTGCTATTGAAGGTAGAAGCGTCGGCGATTCCAAGCTGATGGCGTCTAGTTCATCGATGGATAGGGGCTGAACGGCACTCCAGTCAATCTCCAGGGCGTCGTATGTCAGACCAGCCACTTGAAGTGGGGATTGCAGGTTGAGTTGCTGCCACACATTCCAGCCACGACTGGGCAACATGATCAGGAGCGGGAGTTCTTCCTAAGGGTTTGAGATCATGGGCGCAGTGAGAGATTGACCGCGGTGCGGCCGACGTTTGGCAAAAGACCCAGCCTGCAAAGTCAAGATCAAGCGCACACACCAGCAGGCTCCAGGCCACGAGCAGGTCGGCTGTCACGCTTGAACCAGTGAGCAGCATGACAATCAAATTGCTCTGGTTCAGACTACACAGAACGTGCATGTGAACAAGAGGTGAGGACCGACATCGCCTGTGTCTGAAATGCGTTGAGAATGACGGTCAGCGCGAGGCAGAAAGCGGAGAGGAGCTGAATACTCTCAAATGGCTCACACGAACCTCGCCACATAGGTGGGAGCGTGCATGCCGTCCTCAAAAAGGGTCAAGTTGACGACTGCACCCAGTCTATCCTTGAGTAGCTGACACAAACGAATACCTAGGAAGGAGCCGTGCCGTGAGCTGCAAGGGTGCAGTAGGTACGGGACCGATGGACAAAAGGGTTATCAAGAGTAGGGGTGACGAGGGTGCAGACCGAGATCAGCGTTGGAGCCATCTAGGACGAGCTGGAAGCGGTGAGCATTTTCAATCCGCTGGGCGGCTTGAAAAAGCATAAAGGCCTCGTCCTCCATGGTTTGGTTGAAGAGCACAACGTAGTGGTCATCTATGCTCGAGGCCACGTTGCTGTAGATACGACGCACGGACGAGACTGAGCGGCTGGAAAGAGCCAGGGTTGCGGAGACGGACTTGAGGGCCTGTTGCAAGAAGACTTGGTCAAAGGTGGGATTCTCTCCCTGAATAATCATGATCGGATCCTCAAAGACCGCGCGCGCAAGCACAGATTGAGTGGCAAGCAGGGCGCTGCTGTGATTGAACAGCGAAGGGGTATAGCCAGGGTGTGCCAAATTGGCGCAAGTATCAAAGGTATCGTTGACGCAAGATTGCATGGCTGGGGGACCCTGACCCAGGATCACGTCGGCAAGTGAGGCGTTGCAAACAGCGAGCGTGCATTCACTGCTGAGCCCCTGCTCGCTTGCATGGTAGCGTCCAACCGAAGCGTGCAGATCCAGTACATAAAAAGTAATATCAGCCAAAAGACGTGCACGTGTTTCGCTGATGGTCTCGACCAGCGTGGTGGTGCGCAGCGACGTCAGGATGGGGTCTGTGGTTTGCGTGCTTTCACAGTAGCGTGTCGTGTTGAGACAAAGATCACGCAGGTCGGAGCTGGCGTTGGCAGGTATCGAATTGTCAAGCAAAGAGCTCGAGATGTTGGCACAAACCACAGCAATGTCACGGCAAAATGCCCAGGGATCAGGAATCGCATACTCGATCAGCACCTGCTCACAGTAGGAGCTTGCATTAATGCAAGAGGCCGAGAAGGGAGCCTCGGTCGTGTTCGCCACCAAGATGGTGCTTGCGCTTGCAACGGTGCTCGTGGTCGAGGCGACTTGACCATTGGCAGAGGCCAGCAAGATGACCAACAGCGCAAGCCCATGGCGCTGCAAGCGAATCATTGAGCTGACCAATGGCCCGGACTGGCTCGAGGCCCCCCATGTATCCTTCATGGTGGTGGCGGCCTCAGGACCTCCCCGACTCGGTGCTGCGAGCAATGAGGCGACTCGCTCCCCAGCTGACCAAGCGACTCCAAAAAAAAATCACCACACCCTCCTTGTACCAACACAGCTCACTCCACCGTGATCCCACCGATAGCACCCGTCCCCTCGCCTCCCACCTCTCCCCCCAAGACTCTTCTTCCAAGCACGCGCGCGCGCTCAAACTCTCTCTCTCTCTCTCTAAAATCTCTCTCTCTAAATCTCTCTTTCTCAAACCGACCAAACCTCTCTCTCTCTCTCTCTCAAATCTCTCTCTCTCTCTCTAAATCTCTCTCTCTCTCTCAATCTCTCTCTCTCTCATACACACACATCGAGAAGAATGAAAATTTCAACCTCAAAAATTCAAGAGAGAGAGACCTGGTGAGAGAGACGTTGCACCGTGTTTAAATCTCTGACTGATTTAAAATTTCAGTTTTTATTCTGGCGGCTGGTGTTCAACCTCTGGCGGCCTTGGGTTGCAAGGTGAGGTGATCGGCTGCGCTGCCTAGTTTGGACCGTGCGTGAGGATCAGTCAGGCTGCAATTCTGACTGTGAACTTTGTATGGAGCCAAGAGTTGGGTAACTTGCAGTGGCATGAGGCGCTGAGCCGGGCCTGGAGACAGTTGACATTGAAAAAGTCGATTGTGGTGGTACGCTCTGATCCAGCACGACATACATGTACCACGATGAGCGCTCGGCGCTGTCATGATCACAGGACACACAAAGCCAACGGCCGTGCCAGTGCATTAATGTAAGTGGAGGGGCTGGCTCAAGGCCATGCCTCACCGGCCTCTGACGGTTTACGTGGGGTTTTTCTGCTGGGTTTCGGGGGCTGCTGGGTCCCCACTGTTGGAGTCGTTCCTCGCGTTGGCCTCATTGCCGATCGTCGTCTCGTCGTCCTCGTCGAGGCGAACGTCAATGTCGACGGCCTCACCCTGCCAGTGCAGAATGGTGCGTTCGGCACCAAATCGCATGTAGCGACCAAGCGAGACAGCAATCGGGCTCGCCACGAGCGTGTTGGGTGTGACGTGGGCCAGGGGCAGCTCTTTGGGTGTGGGGTAGTAGAGACGCCCCGTGTCGGTCATGGTCAAGAGCTCAGGCTCGAAGTCCACGGCCAGCTGACCGCCGTAGATAAGCACGTAGGGTTCGGGTGTGGCAGTGGCGTCCAGCGCGGCATCGAGATCAAAGACCTGCTTGACGGGGTGTCGTGCTGGCAAAAGACGGGTAAACACGAGTGGGGTGTCGTCACAGCGCACGTAGTTGTACTCGCGGCCACAGGGTGATAAAAACGGAAACTCGTGCTCGTGGTGGCCAGTCTCGTTCACCTGGAGCCTTTTGAAGAAAAAGTCGAGAAACTCGCGATCTGAACGCCGAGTGAACAGACTGTGAGACGCAACGGCACGAAACCTCGGGGTCAAAAGGAGCCAAGCGGCACTGACAGCCAGCCTGCCCCGCATGGACGTGATGGCAGCCAGCTCAAACCCACCTTTAAAGCAGCTCGTAAAGTTTTTCATTTTGGCGTCGTCCAGAAACAGAAACCCGTTGTGATCGACGTAATAAAAGTACTCTCGCCGCCGACTGCTCGGATTCAACTGTCCCTGCTCATAGGCCAATCCCCGCCACTGATGCCGCCCCCAGCCCCCACTCACACACGCTCCCAGCCCGCGCCGCCCCAACATTCCCGCCGCTGCCATAATGACCACCCCTGCCATTGCGACACGCTGTCTGTGTAAATAAATCCCTCTCTCTTGAACTCCTTCTTCTTTATAGTAGTACTGCTGCCTATATCTATACTACATGTAGTAGTTTTTCGGCTACGTCTTCATAACCGGCTTATTCACTACCAAAATATTCAAAGCCAAAAAAATAAAGTTTTAAATTCGATTTATTGATGTTCAAAAGTTTTATAAAATTGTTTGGACAAGGAAAGACCCCAAAAATATTCCGGAGTTTTTAAAAAACAGGGGTTATTTTATTTTGCTCATTTTCATTTAATTATTCTGTTTTCGGGTACATGTGCAGTAATTAGATTTAAAATTTAATTTTTTATCGATTTTTATTTCTTTTGTTCTTTTTTTGGCACGGGCGGGGTGGTGGCGGGGAGCAGCTCGTTGGGGCTCATTCAGGATGGATGCGTGCAGTGAAAGCTCCTAGAGGCTTCTATCCTTGAGAAGGCCCACTGCGCTGTCATAAATGTAAATTAGACCAGTGTGTTGGAAGCGCATGTGGTACCTTCCGTTGTGCACTGTTTGGGAGGGAGATCAAGCCTCCTTCTCCTGCTCTTGATGGCCGGCATCTTCGTGCGCGAGTGTGTGAGAGCGGTGTAAGGAATGGTGCTGGTCATGTCGGTTCTGGGGATTGATGTTGTTGATGAAGAGATGTAGCGCTTGTGAAAGGTTGCCGTCTCGTAGAGCCAAAACAATCTCATCTTTTTCCTGTACAGCAGACAATCGCAAGAGAAGTGCCAAGTCGTTCATGTCACGCAAGCTCGGAGAACGTCTCGCAAAGAGCATGAACAACCCATCTGGCTTGCTGCATAAACTGAGAATTTGAGATGGTGAGAGCTGGAGACAGGAGATCGACTGGTGAGGACGAGTAGGGCATGATCTTACCTCTGCACAGCTTTGACCAGCGTCGCCGATTTAAACTCCTTCACACCTGGGATAATTTCGCAGGGGCCTCTGTGTTGGCAAGAGGTCGGCTTCTCTCCCCCTGGTGTAACAAAACGGCAAAACCTTCGCAGCAAAGCATAGATTCTTGCGGATATAATCAGCACTGAGGTGGCCACTTGTGAATGGGTTCCAAGGATAGACTCGGTCAAGCCAAAGGTCTTGTAAGCAAGCAGAGAAGCACATTCAAAAAAATGGTCGCAGGTAAAAGCCGCCGAATACAGTGTGGGAATGTTTGTCTGGCTGAGCCAACCAGCTCCTCTTATCACCGTTGTCGCCTCTCACGTCGCCAGCTAGACGACCGGAGCGGGAGATTCGTGCCACATGGACAATGTACGACGCTAGTGGATGCAGGTCACCGTTCTCCCTTGACCACCTTGCAAATTCAGCCGCCCCCATCAGTGTTTTCAAAATATCCTCTCGCATTAGCCTCATACCTGACGTGCGGTCGACGCGGAGAACATTTGAAGTTTCGAGTGGCGCCAGGCCGTTGAGAACGAGCAGAGAACTGGCGAACGCCTTCATCTCAAATTTTGCCTTTGAACATCCTCGAGGCGGGCGGCATGCGTATCGGCCTGGACTCTTCCGCCTGGCTGTCCCTTGTGGTTCTCTGAACCCGTGTGGCGTCCTGTGCAGCTCCATGACGTGAGAGTCTGCGACTGGTGCCACAGTTCGTATCGTCGACGCGAGAAGAGAAGAAAAAAATAGCAAGTGTGTGACGCGGTCGTTACAAACCAAACTCAACGGCCACGCCGTTGCAACAGTCACTTTTGCTGACAACGACTTGCTCGCTCGATCATCAACTCTATCAGTCAGTTCTGCCAAGTTTGACAGTTTGCCAGGTAACGTCATGGCGTCAGGAACGGATCAAACACGTACTGATGCCGCTTCGTCGGCACAGTCTCCAGAGCCTCTGCAGCTGCCTGCTATGAATACCTGGCCAGATCTCTTCTCTTTTGACCCTGAATGGGAGCAAGAGGTGTGCCGCGTAGTATCACAATCAGGAAAACCTTATTACCGTCAGCGACCGCGCCGGCCGCGCCAATCAGACGTGGGCTTCATCGGGCCAAAGCGGCCCGTAGGCCGGCCAAAAAGCGCCTCAAAGAAAGCAAAGAAGTCCAAAAAAAAAGCCGGAAGCAGCGCATGATGCCCAGTGGAGCTGTGAGGGCTCACAGACCGAACACGGATCTCCTACCGGTCGGACCAGCGCTCCTTCATCGCCAGCCCATGAACTCCCAGCAGGACAGCTGCAGACTGAACACGGAGACTGTGAAGATTTGCACACAGCGTCGCACTCAGCAGCTATTGAAGATGAGTCGGAAGCTGATAGCGATTGTTCCGATGACAGATCAGAGCTAGGATTTGGAAGTGACGCCATCGCCGACGATCCTGCGTTCGGCTTCAGAGACGACATGCCTTCCGCCTCGGACCCCGAATCGGACGATGACGCCACCTCTGTCTCCAGTTCCAGCTCTGAGGAAAACAGGGCAGGTGAAGACGATGACCTTGATGTCTTCCTTGAGGAACTGGATGGTGAAGACGCAGCTTTGGAACGTGAAACCGCCCCAGGAACTCTAGCATACACGACAGCTTGTCTTGTGTTTCATTCCCACAGCATTTTGCGGTATGACTCCACTACATTTCGCGACGGCAACGAGAGCATGTGATCTGACTCGCCTGTTTCTTCACAGCCAAATCTCCTCCGCCGATGTCAAGGATATGTATAACGTCATTCAGCCCATGCTACCTGAAATTGCACCTCTGGGTAGGTCGATGCAAGCCGGTCATCTTTTGAGCTGGAAAACTCATCATGCTCGCGTAATCAATACAGACGTTGTGAAGAGTTACGACCCCATGCCAGATATATCCTTGGACACTCTCACAGTGAAGTACATTCACGGTGGCAAAAGCCAGGAGGTTGGTGTCTGCCCTATAGCATCTATATGGCCGTTAACTCGACGACTCACGCGTCGTGACCTTGGGTCTGCCACGAAAGAATACTGTAGCGTATTTGAGCCTTGGCAAGGCGGTTGCGATGGCGTGGCAAGTCCCAGAAGTTCGGCGCCAGCTTGCGACGATGTCTGTCTCCTGGGGCCAAGACTCCCAAGGCACTGTCTTTCACCCGATGCAAGCAGACTTTTTCAAAGGAAGAAGTAGCGTACTGCGGCGCCAAGACCAAGAGACCAAGCAACACCACTATTACAATCTTCACAATGAAAGGTTTGAACTTTCCGCTGCCGGTGAATGGCCGGCAAATCATGTTGCTACCATCATCGAGGACGATATTGTACTCCCCTGCTACATCGATATATCTCAGGTGCGTGATGGCCAGGTTTCAACATTTGGTGCTACCATGGAGCGTCTGAGTATGTTTCGTTCTTTAGGACGACGTCTTGGTTGGGCGGAAGACCATGGAGTCGCTTTTTTGTCGCTTCACCACTTTGAGCTACAACAATTGGAACCGCTTCATCATTCACTTGGGTACCTCGCAAGTCCTGCCAGAGGCTAACATTTTCCTTCTTGCAGAGCAGATCGTGAAAGAGCACGGAAAGTTGGTCGAGGTATTCGATCCAGAGACTGACAAATATATCAAGGTATGATGTGCCACGAAGCATTCAACTCAATGTTGTGTTTTCCCGGTGATTGCCGCCATTGCTGTGCCAGAAAATCCATGCCATCTTACATGTGTATGCGTGCATGTGCGTGTGTGTGGATGCGTCGACAACACTCGCATTCTCGCGTAGCTTAAAATTGTCATTACACGACTACTGGTCGATACTCCCAGGCGGTCCGACTGTGCAAACCATGCGCGCGGCTCAAATTTTCCGTGCTGCTATTGTGAACAAGAAAAGAACAAAGACCTCGCCGACTCTATCATTCAGATGAAACCGCCCAGCAACAAGAGCAACGAATATTATGGCCCAGGGGTCAACCGCGAGTTAACTCTTGAAGAAGAACCATTCGAGCTGCCGTGGATGAAGACCACTGACCCAGACGAGTCCAAGGCTCTCCAGAAAGCAGAAGACCTTGGCTATGGAGTAGCCCAGGACCCAAGCTTAGCGCCTCTCCGGACGCATGCATCCGCCACGGCCAACCACGAGTCGTTGGGTTACAAGGACAAGCGCAGCCCCTGGCCCGCCGTCATCGACGTGTATGACACGTTCCAAAACCCACCCGAGAGCCTTCATTTATGGGCATTGGGCATACTCAAGGTCAAACCCACCTCTTGGCATGCAGATGTATTATGCCCTCAAAACAATGTCTCATTCCTGCAAATGTTGTTGCCCTTCTCAGTATGTTGTGCAGAATATCCGCGACCTCAGCGCGCGTGGGTTGTCAAAGACCGTGAGAACCAGAATGTCCCGGGAAATGAAGACTTTGATCCAAGATTATGAGTATGTCTGGCCTGCCGTCGGGACACTCGAGCGATGTCTAACAGCTGTTGTGCCAATAGGCGCTTGCATCCCCGTGAAGGTCACAAGCCTCGCTTGAATGAGATGGGGTCGTGGAACGGTGCTTCATATCGATGGCAGTTGAACGAGAAGGTGTTTTGGATTGCACACGCTCCAGGTAAGAGCACCGAGTTTGAGTACTCCTGTGGATTGACCGTGCTCACTTCCGCACAGGCCACACTAGGCCTAAAAATACCCGCCGAGGACTGTCTGTGACTAGGATGATGCGAGTCGTGGCCTTGTGCTTTCGATGTGCCGAGGTCGGATCACGGCGCACCGGTGCTAGCGCAATTATCGTTTGTGTCGTGTGCCTTTTATAATCTTTCGCCATGACACGTCTCTTACCATGAACTCATCGTGTCAGATTGCCCTTGGCCCCAGCACGACAGCTGAGGAGCGGCAGGAACTCGACTTGATCGTTGGACCAAGAGTCTTAGAGCTAGCCTGGCCAAACTCTCAAAAGGCCCATCACGTGGTAAGCCATGCCGAGCACGTTTACGACCCGACCCACCTCACAGCATAATATATTTTTTTTTAGACGTGGCACCTTACTCATGCCCTGAAACAATGCGGACCAAGGTTTCTGTCAAACGAAAGGTCGGAGGCCATGAACAAGTACACAAAGGCGGCTGCAAAAAAATCCAACAGGAGGCATCTCGCGCGTGATATCGGACGCGCCCACCTCATGCAGGTAAATTAGTCGGCCGTTGTACCACAAACAAGACACAAAGCTTACGATGTGCTTCAAATAGACGAAACTGCTGTTCAGCCTGCATGGTGCACCCACAACACCACCGCGCGGCATCGATAAGAGCGTATGGCAAGCCACATTGGTTCGCCATGCTCCAATGCTATTCCGGCTACTAACAGCAGAAGCCGACGCCCAAGGCCAAGCGCATCGTCACCTGAGACTGAGCAAGACAATGGCCAGGTGTGACATGACTAGTCACAGGCAACACATGATACATTGAAAAGTTTATGCCAGGCAAAACTGATTATCGCTTCCTGCCATGCGTGTCTGCTGTGTTTACAGAACGCCGGGCAAGAGGGCCCTGGCCCAACCCCTCTCCGAGTGGATACAGTTGATTGGTTTCGACGCGACAATGCCCGTTCATGGCGCGAGTGCTTTCGAGGACAACACGTTCACCGGGTGGAATCGCTTGTCTTGGGGTACCAAATGGACCATTCGCGGTCTATCAACCTGGCCAGAAGAGGCACCACGCCCGCGCCCGTGGACACGGCTACGTTATGAATACATTCTTCGCACCCGCGATGGATTGGACGGTATGCACTGGTGTGCGCATTTCGACCGGTTCAACAATAACACTCACTCAATGGGCCCACTTCACAGGCGTTTTTCTGATGGGATTGAAGAACACTGGCGGACCAGAGTCTTTGATGCTGTTGGCCATCCTCGATCGAGACACAGACATGCTTTCGAACGGCTGTCCAACGCATCCACTAACATATTGGTGCCACCTCCCCTGCTACAAACACGAGTCGGCCCAAGCACGATTGGCTTTAGTACAAGTCTCTGACGTTGTAGAAGTTGCAAGCATGAACCACGACTGTGCAACGAAGCGAGCATGCCGTCTCGGAGACGGCAAAGGCTGTCGAATCGCAGAACATCCCTTGTGGATCCGCACCAGAGTCATATGGGACGTAGAACGACAACTGTTTGCGTAGAATTTGAACTGACGACATGTGAATTGACATGTGAAGTTGCAAAACAAAAGATCCATTCGACCAAACAAAAGAAACAATTCAGAGAACGGAAGAGAACAAAAGAACAAAATCAGACAACAAAAGAGACAACGAAATTGTGAACTAAAGACAAAAGAACAAGATCAGAAAACAAATGAGAACAAAAGAATCATTTTAAGCAAACAAAAGAAACGAAAGAACAAAATCAGAAAACAAAAGAATTTCGCTCTCGCACGTTCGGAGAACAAAAGAATAACGGCAAACAAAAGAATTGGCCAGTAATGTCATAAGCTTAACCTCGATTTCCAATTTTTTTGGCTTTGAGTATTTTGGTAGTGTTCCTGAACATTTTGTCAGACAAATTTAAAGCACATGCACTTTTTTTTTTTTTTTTTTAAAGTGAAACGAAACGATGGCGGGGGGGCAGCGCAAGTTCAAGCCCTCGGTTGAGCTGCATGCCGGTGATGCAGGGCCTGGGGAGGACTTGAAGAAGCCCACGAGAAAGGTGAGTCATGCGGAGTTGCTTTGCGGCTCTGATAGCGCCGATGACACGCCGGTCTTACCATAAACACACGCATTGTGCGCTTGTGTGATTGATACAGCGTGGGGGCAAGGGCCATGACCGTGTGCTGCCGTGCGCCATGAAGCATAATGCCGCTGCAGCCACCCGCCTGTCCCTGTATCGGCAACTTGATCAACCCGTGCCTGAGAATGAGGCTGTGGAAATGGACGGTGAAACGGGTGAATTTTATCGCTATGACGGCATCTTCAATGGCCTGGGCGTCCAAGTCACGGATCGCGTCGACATGGCCTGGCTCTACAAGCAAGGTTTTTTCGGCAAAGGCGTGTTGTCCAAATCCGAGCCCATGTATGGCAAACAAGTGCTGCGCTACGGTCGTGGTGATGACGCTCGCGGTAAGCTGCCAGGCATGCACACACACACACACACACACACACACACACCCCTTGGTCCAACCTGCAAGCCTATCCGAGACTGCCTGGCTCCTTTCACATTGGCGACACCCTTGTGCCGCCCGGCCCCATTTCAGAATCTTCCCACGAAAAGCGCATCGCCCGCAAGAAACAGCGCATCTTTGAAGCCAAGCAGCGCAAACTCAAGAAGGAAATTGCCGCCGTAAGTGCCATATCCTCTACTCCTCTAACCTTGGGTGCTCGTGGCAATGCCTTGTATTCTTGTTTGACCCTCACCAAATCAAATATCTATGGACAGGACGACACGCATCCAGCCAAGCGCATTAAATTGCAGGCAGATTTGTATTTCTTGCGCGAAAACTACGCTCAGAGCAAGGCTGAAGCTGCTCCTGGTGCCCCCGACGACAGCGAAGGTGCAACCAACGAGGACCCGGACGCTGAGGCAGATGCTGATGACCTCAACGACGACGAACCTGAGACCACCCCGACCGAAGAATCTTTCATCTCGCGCGAGTACCTGCAGCTCAGTCTTGAAGAGGTGAATGTGTCATGTCCCCCCCGCCCGCCTGCACATCGGGGACAGCATGGTTTTTGGCTTTGCATCCACGGGCATACGCTCACAATGCTGTATTTGAGGAGCAGGCTTTTTTCCTAGCACATGCCCTGGGCTGTTTGAACGTGAAGTCACAAACAGGACAGGTCGGTCAATGCCCTTGACCATGCAAGCCTGGGGTTTGGCACCACAGGCCCTATCTGATGGCCAGTTGTTCGTAGGCTATGACAATTCTAGAGTTCTGGCAAGCATGCATCCAAAGTAAACCTAATTTTGTGCAGTCTTATGTCGTCTATCACTTTTATCGCAGGTCGGTAGCCTGCCATTCAGCCCAGCACACCGCCGCCTGCTTCTTCGCCGCGTCTCTTTTCGTTTGCACCCACAACTGCTCACCTGACGCTTTAACCTGCCAACCATTTTTTGTATGACAGCCGTGGGTGGGTTCCAAAGACAGGTCTCAAGTTTGCAGCCGATTGGCTGATATATCGTCAAGGACCGACCTTTTATCACTCGAGGTGAGAGTATGTGTGTGTGTGTGTGACAGAGACAGAGAGAGGCACACTCACACACACACTTACACACACTCGAATGAAACGGGCCGGACGGCTCACGAATTTGCCGACCTAGCTATTCGATCGTTGTGAGGACTGCCTGGGCAGACACCTTTGATCCTTGGCATGCTGAACCCACCATGAGCTGGCACTATCTGTCAGCCGTTAGCCGCGTATCGGGCCAGGTGCGTCAACGCGCCCTTGGCGCCTGATCCTGAGGACACGAAGGACCGCTGCTCACCTCGAACTGTTGCTGGCGTCAGGCGGGCAAAGAGGCTATGGTGGCATATGTAGTGCGTCCCCGTGCGGTCGATGGTGCTGCCCTCCGCGACCCCAGCTGTCTGGATAAGTTTCAGGTGTGTTGTTGATCCTTAATGGCCGTACGTTCGCGATCCAGGCATTGCCCATTGCACTGAGGCCCGTCTCATAAGTCGCCATGTCATGTTGACATAGGTGAAAGAACTCATGTATCGCCGATGGGTGCCAGACAAAGCTCGCTAGTTTGTGCAAAATTCTCAGGTGCAGCAGAGCTGGCCGAGTGCCTTGGCCGGTTGGATTTAGTATTACAACGTCCCACACACATCGGGTGCGCCCGATCAACCTCTGTGAGGTGCATGCGAGCGCTTGGACGCGTCGCGAGTCCAGAGACAGAACCAATTCGATGTACATGACATTTGAAAAGTTGCATAACCGGGACAACCAACCGTTCTTGGAAGCTATTCTCGCACACACCCACGCACGCACACACACCTGATCCTCGAACAAGCAGAAGAAGGAGGCAAGACAAGAAAGGCCAGCGTAGTCCGGTCCCCCTCTATTCCTACCACCTGGCACGAAGCGCATGCTATTTGCCCTAAGGAATAATGCAAAAGTGCTTCGAGATTAGCCCAATTGCAATCAAGTGGCGACCCCTCTGTTAGCCTCACACTGCTCGAGGCATTAAACTTGAAGTTTTCTTTAAATACCTCCCCTTACCATCACGATCACCCGCTTCCAACTGCCACGCGTACCCGTGCCGCGCTTGCTCTCAACCACCACCCTCCTCCACACACTCTCTCTCTCGCTCTCTCTCGCTCTCGTTCTCATAATCAACAAGTCAGTCATCATGATCGTCACATGCGGCCCTCAGTCTCCCAATCCGCCCTCCATTAGTCTCTCAGTCTCCTCATTGTCTCACTTTTATCTCTCTCTGAATCTCTCTCTGAATCTCTCTCTCTCTCTCTCTCTCTCTCTCTCTCTCTCACATTCCCACGTCTCTCTCTCTCTCTCTCTCTCTCTCTCTCTCTCTCTCTCTCTCTCACATTCCCACGTCTCTCTCTCTCTCTCTCTCTCTCTCTCTCTCTCTCTCTCTCCCACGTCTCTCACGTCTCTCTCGGTTGCTCTTGTGAATACGGCGGTGCGGATGATCCGGCTGGGAAATCGACGTTGAGGAAAAGGAAGACTAAAGTCTTTGGGACGAGGGGTGTTCACCACCGAACCGCAGCGCACGAGCGCGCGAGACCCTCTCTTTCGTTTCAGGCGGCACACAGGAGTACTTTTGAGCCCCCGAAAACTTTTGTGCTGCCGTCCCCGACTTGAGTGACCTGGCGCTACCTCCTCCTCCTCCTCCTTCTCCGCTTCCTTGACGCTCGCAGTTCATTTGACCCTCCTACCTTGAAGGTAGCGAGAGGTCTGTTCGAGCGCTCTGGACCTGTGCTTGGGCACCACGGTTTGTGATTCGATTCGATTTTATTAGGAACACGCCCATCAGTAGTATGAGTGACGCCACCCGGCCGAACCGTGATGGTCCGGCTCACGCGTCATCATCAGGCTCTTCGCCGGCCGTCGGTGGCGCAAGTCCCATCCAACGTGGCTTTGTGCCGGGCTCAATACCCATGAGCAGCGTCCAACCCAATTCCAACCAGGCTAGCCCCAACATTGTCAACGCCACGGGCATGACTATGCCCGTGGGCTCTCCCACTCTTCACGGCATGATGCCTCCTCATATGGCCATGCCCGGTGTGGCTGGTGGACCTCAATCTGCCATGCTTGGTCAACGCCAACACGTCTACACTCTAATGCATGCCCCCATGATGGGCCAAGCCATGTACCAAATGCCCTTTGCCGCACCAGCCAACTCGAGCGTCACTGCCGCTCGCGCACCACTTGCAGCCGCATCGGCAGCCGAAATCATGTACGTATGGACTTGTAGACAGCACGTGCTGCTGCTGCTGAGGCTCGACAGTAGCATATCCATTTGTCATTGAAAGCCTGCTGTCACATTCCAAACCCCGCGCTCTTGGCCCTTGTACCGGACTCAACATGTCTCTGCTCGCGATCTTGCCAGGGCGACGCCCGTGAGCGAGGAAACAGCCATCTTCCTTAAAAAGCAGATCGGCTACTACTTTAGCGCTGCCAACCTCATCAAGGTGGGAATGCATTTTTTTTTTTTTTTTTGGTAGCCATGCTGGCCTTTTTGTAAAGTTATCCGCAGGTTGCGAAAGGAAAAAAAGCAAACCCCCATTTAGAAAGAAGGCACTCACGAGCTCGGGACATCGTGCTTGTGTGCTTTCGACCCGTTTAGGATCATTACCTAATTAGCGCCATGGTTCACCCCTCCATGCATGTGGCCATTGATACCATCGCTCGATTCCGCAACGTCCTGGTGCGTAGTCAACACCCACTGCCCCCCAGCGTCACTGCCAAATGCACGGTAAAAGCACGAGACAAAGGTGAACATAACCTGTCTGTGCACAACTTTTTCATCGCCTGACTATCATGTCTCGATTCATGTAGGCCAAGACACGAGATGTCAAAGTGGTCACACGCGTCATGATGGATATGCCGAGTCTGAATGTTCATCCTCAGTGGTCTATCGTCCAGCCCGTGAATCACGAACTGCTCTCCGACCCCTTGACGTTGATGGTGGATGATCATCAGCAAGCTTTGACTGCGGACGGGCTCAAAGAGATTCTGGCCAAAAAAGATCTGGTTTGCAAGCAGATTGTTTTGGATTCCAACAATATGTGGCTACTATTGTTTGAGAGTGCAGCAGTTCTTGATGAGGTAAAGCCTTATTCTGGTTTCATCGTGACAGTAGCGAAGCATACCCGGTTCTCTGAATTGTAATGCTGGCCGTCCTGATTGCCCGGGCCATTGCTTGCTGATTATTCAGGCTCGGGCTTGGTTGGATAAGGACCTGGTCTCGATCGCGCCCAGTGCCTACGTGCACCTGAATCCCATCCCCGAACAAATCAAGATCCAAACCGCCATGGTCCGCCCTGAACTGACGGTATGCAATGCCTTCTTTTTTTTTGTCGATGGCTTGTTTGTCTGCTCACCTATTCAATTGTTCAGTCTTGTGCTCGATCTCACCGTGCAATCCCCCTCCTATTTATTCTTGCAGCAAAATATGCCTTGGACCTTCCAACCGCAAATGATGGTCCCAACCATGATGATGGGCATTGGCAACATGCAAGACATGCGTGGCCAGGTCCCCACAACTCAAACTCACCACGGCAAAGGCCGGAACGCGGGGCGTAACAATCATCGCAAGGACTCGAAGAGACATCAAAACGGAGGTGCGTTTGGTCTTGTTGGTCAGGCCAATTTGACCATCCAACTGCTTGCTTGCAGAAAATCAATCCTGATCACGTGCACTTTGAACGGGGTTGGCTCGTCGCAGGCAATGCGCGTGGCTCAGGCAACCACACCCAGGGTGGCCTTGGCGCCACGGGCAAGGGATCAGGGTCGAGTGGGCATGGCCATCAAGGACATCACGCTGGGAATGCTGGGCATCAGCACCAGCCAGGCCAACACGATGGTGCCCAAGGGCAACAGTCTGGTGGCGGACGTCAACACCGCAACCGTCAAGGTGGCAACCAATCGCCTCATCGAAGGAGATCACGAGACACTGGCGTTACGTTGGCGCCCGGCAATGTGCCACATGGTGTCGAGGCCGGGGTCCCGCCACCTGGCCCCCCGCGAATGTCCGAGGTGTGTGGGGCAAATGCAAGCTGTCTGCGTCGAAGAAGTTGCGGCGGAGCGGGCGCGTCAAGACTGTATTTTGAACGCCGTCAAGCTGACCTTGTCATCGCTTGGAATGTGTGCTTTGTAGGCTGATGCATTTCCCCCCTTATCTGCCCAAAAACATGTTCCCGCCAACCCCCCGACTGCGCCTGTGACGGCCTATAGCGTATGTGTTCAAAAAAAACCCCCCCCCCCGACAGGCGCCTTGTCCATTGTCTGGAAGCTGCCCGATCCCAATGTCGTCACGTTTCTTTTGTTTCGCGGGTGGCTTTTTCTTTGACTCATTCTTTTTTGCTTCTGCGACTTTGCCGCCCATATGCCTGCTTTACAGTTGGCATCTGTTGTGCGTGGTGGCTCAGGACCTTCGGTATGTGAGGTGTTGTCTTGAGGCTACTGCACGCTGCGGGTTGACAACATGATTCCCGTTTTGAACTTGTAGTTTGTGGTCATTGCAAACAATATTTCTGGTTGTTGGCATTGGGGATTGCACCGCTTACTTGTGACTCATACTCGGCTTGTGGTGGGATATGCAGTCACCCAACCGTCCGGCAGCTTCTAGTGCGTCTCGGGGACGCGCTGCTGCAGTCCAGCCCATCTCGCGCAGTAGTAGCACGGATAGCAGCATGACGGATGATACACACCATGTGACCGCGGCACCCTCGGCTCCGCGTCCCAAGCCTGTTGCCAAGTTTTCTCCGACCACTTCGACGACCCCTGCCACCAAGCCATCTGGAAAGGGTATGTGACAGCCAACCGCACTTTGATGGCACGCTTGAGCTCGCCCTCTCAGCCTTGTGCTGTGGGTCAGCTGACTGATCGTGTGTCGGTACAGGCTCCGGCTCTGCTAGGTCGGCGGGCACGGCATCGGGTACGCAGGCCTCGAGGAAAGCCTCGGGTAACGAATGGACCACGGTTGCTGGGCGCCGACCTGAAAAGAAGCACGGCCATCGCGGGCGGCACCATGGCGGCCGTCACGACACCGTGCCAGCTCCCCGCCGTTCGGAGGAGAGCCAGTCTGACCCGACTACGCCTGTTCCGGTGGACAACACACAGCGGGCCGTCCCGTCCTTTGCTCGCATTGCGGCTCACTCAAGCAAGTCGTGATGCAAGTGCGCGGTTCTTCAAGCCGCGATATGTTGTGTGCGACTGAGCGGGGTGGTAGTCGTTACAGAGTAGAGAGATAATACGTCGAACAAACCGAGCTGGGTGGCCCCGTGTGCACTGGTGATTGAGACACATGACTCGGCTGTCTTTGCATCCAGCGTTCGATCGACATAAATTGATGCACAGGCTATGTGTTTTACAGTTTATGAAGCAGTTGGCAGTCAACACGTTTGCGCCCAGTCTGTGTCCTTGCAGAAGGAATGATTAAAAGAAGAGGGCCAATCCCCTCCTGGGAGCTCCTGTGCAGCTCACCCTTTGTCGCTGGTGGGATTGGAGAATTTATTGTGTATTTGCGATCCCTGGGTGCAAATCGCAGACCTGCAGATTTGCTAATCATCAGGGTTGGGTCTTTCACGCGCAAAGAAAAAACTTGCTTTACTGGTTGGAACATTAAAGCAGAGCGAGCGACGGCAAGGCGGGTCGATGGTGAGCGACTGGCTTGTTGTGAGAACTGCGAGAAGAAAGAAAGAGGACAAGAGGAAAGAGTTTGACGAAAATAGTCAAAAAATAACCAAAAATCATGGAAAAATTGCCCACAAATCAAGAGAGAAAGAGAGAAAGAGAGAGAGAGAGAGAGAGAGAGAGAGAAAGAGAGAGAGAGAAAGAGAGAGAGAGAGAGAGAGAGAGAGGAGAGAGAGAGAGAGAGAGAGAGAGAGAGAGAGAGAGAGAGACAGTGTGTGTGCGTGTGCTCCGACGTCTTGTTTGCTTTGACTCGCTCTCGCTCTCTCTCTCTCTCGCGTTTTTTTTTTCTGTCGCGTGTGTGTGATTGACGCGGTGCGGAGGGTGAGACGGATGGACAGCGCATCGCCGGGGGTGATGCGCTTAGGAGAGCGGCCATGAGGAGGGCAAACATGAGGCCCGACGCGGTGGGGTCTCCGAGGCGAAGAGGGCGCGCAGTCATGACGGTGGCCACGTTCTTTGGTCCCGTTTGGCTGAGTGTCGTGTTGTGCACGACACTGACGGGGTCAACAGCCAGCGAGACCGTGTCTGCGTGCGGATTTTCTCTCGACAACCGCTCTTGCTGCTCTTTCAGTGGGACCAGCGATGGCCAGCGCTGCATCTGCGACGGAAACGGTGCATACGGTGATCCATGCGGGGATTTTTGCGAGCATCGCCTGGATGCCTGTGGCAGGTGCGGTGGTGACGGCCGCAGCTGCTGCTCTGAACCCAGTCACGTCTTCCGGACCGACCTGGGCAAGTGCGGCATTCCTATGGAAACGCTTGTCCTTCGAGAAATGCCTGCGCGCCCGGATGGCTTTCCCATGCTCGTCACAGCCATCACCCACCCTTGGACGAATAACGACTTTGCGAATGCGCCCCAAGGATTTCATGCCTTCCCTGGTGGGTTTGTTCTTTGCGCGTTCAGCGCAACGCCGCCAGGGCCCTCTTCCGGTTGATGCATGCTCACCTGCCTCAGTGTAAGGTTGTGCAGCGCTAGCTCATCCGCTTTCTCGTCGCTCGTGTCCCCGGCGCTCTGATAGGGCCCACGTTGCGATTTCGACGAGGCGATGAGGTGGAGATTCGAATTGAGAACAGACTTAGTGAGCGCGTGAGTGGTCTGCACTGGCACGGAATCCACCAGCGCTTTAATGCATGGGTGGATGGCGCCATTGAAATTACCGACTGCGGTATTGCCGCGGGGCATGATGCTCGCATTCGGATCCGGCTCAACCAAACAGGCACCTACTGGTATCACAGCCACGTGGGCGCGCAGTATTCGGAGGGTGCATACGGCGCGCTTGTTATCGACCCGCCCCTTGGGGAATTGGACTCAATTGCAACTCGCTTTCCCTATGAGCAAGATTATGTCCTCATGCTAGCCGAGTGGTTCCATGACCCCGGCGTCGAGCTTGGTCGACGCCTACGAAGCCCGTGGCAGGCTTTTCCTGGCTTTCGACCTGCCTATCCCTGGCCTCCCGTTAGTGTCTTGCTCAATGGCAAGGGCCGGTTCAACTGCTCGCGCATCGACCAGTGTCCGTCCGTTGGCGGGAGCACGACTCCAGACCTCGATGGCATGTGTACCTACCTTCGGACACCCTTGTGGGGCGACACATGCGTCTCGGAGCAGCTAACGACGGAAGCTGATCAGTGGCACTGTCGACCAGGCACATGGACCCGGTTTCGTGTGGTGGGGGCAGCAGCCAATCTTCCATTACGAATCTGGATCGATGGCCACCCGCTCCTGGTCGTGGCCCGCGACGGTGTGGATGTACAACCTTTCTGGGTCAACCAGTTGACAGTGCCGGTGGGGCAGCGTGTCGACGTCTTGATCCACTGCAACCAAACCGCCCCAGATTTTACCGCCAACGGGTTCTTTATCTTCGCCAGCATCAATCAAGCCTTTTTCCCGAAGCCCGAGAAAGGTCGGGCCCTGTATCGAGAGCTCTATACGTATGGGTATCTGCGTTACTCAAACTTAACCTCCAATGACCTCCGCTACAACAACCTGAGTCACCTCGAGCTTGCCCCGCCCCTCCTCGACCCGCGAGGCCCTCATCCGACCATAGACCTTGCTGATGACGATGAGCGCTGTGACGATAATGATGTGCTGCAAGAATATGACATGCGACCGCTGGAGGGCAGCAAGGACGGCCCTGAAGGCAAGAATGGTCAAGTCTACACGGATGGCAATATCAGTCCACAAGCTCCGCCAGCTACCCGGCGCATTGTGCTGCGTTCTGCAGTGTTATGGGACGAGCAGCGGGGCAGTCCAACGGAGTGGTGGGTTACCGATAATCGCTCTTTTGTGGCACCGCCACGGCCCTTGCTTCACCAACGCGTTTTTGATGACGCCCGCGAGCTAACAGTGCTGCCAACACGCGAGCCAGCGGCTACCAGTCACGGACTACGCCGTGAGACCTACGTCCTTGATCTCGACCTTGGCGAGGTGGTAGAGTTTGTCATCGTGAGCTACAGCGGGCAGCAGCACCCGTGGCATGTGCACGGGCATCGTGTCTGGATGCTGGGTGCAGATCGCGTCGCGCCCGCCCACTCAGATGGAGGCCCAAAGGTCTTTGCCGACCTTGATGCTTTCGAGTATGATGGGCACTTTGGACAGCTCAACGCGACTACTTCCGCGCTGCCGGGGGACTCGTGGACCATTCCCGAGTACGGGTATATGGTGTTTCGCATGCGCGCCGACAATCCTGGTCCATGGCTCCTTCATTGCCATGTGAGCTGGCACATGCTGACTGGGATGGCCCTGGTTCTGGACGTGGGTGCACGTCAGAGCTACCGCGGGCTTTTGCCCCCCCCTTTAGCCAGCGACCAAAATCTGTGCAACTACCAGGGCCGAGCTCCGCACACTGTCATGACCAGCACGACCACGACTGGTCACACCTCGGTGCCATCTAGTCCCGCTGCTTCCGACGCTGGTGTTGTAGACTCTTTAACCCAGCGCTCAGGTCTGAGCGCCACGACCATTGGCAGTATCAGCATTCTTGTGCTGACTGCGGTGGGAATCGGTGGGGCGCTGGTCATGCGCTACTGGGCTCGGCGTCCACCCGCCACGCGCTACTCCAGAGTTCGGGCCGAGCCCACCTCGGCAGAGCCGAGTCGGGCTTCCTCCGTTTCACGTTTGTAGTTCCCTAGCTTTTTGTCGTATTTTGAAAGTGTTACAGTTGTCAATAATATGATAGACTCTTATCTCCTCCTTTTTTGACAGTCGCCATTCAGCTCGGGTGCACACGTGCGCCAATAGCGGGGTAATTGATTTCCTAGCTGTTGGACTTTGATCGCGCGTTCGGAAGAAGTCTCGTCCAATTTTGACTCGATTGAGCGCGCCGTGTAGCGTTAGTGATGTTGATCAACGAGGGCACAAAAAGCACACTCAATTCCGAGACCGTGCAAAGGCGGGTACCAGCCTTGACAGCACCAGACCAGGGCACGCACGAATGCCCCAAATTGGATAAGCATAGAGAACCGCACATTAGCAAGACAGCGACGGCACTTGAAGCACGTTTGACAGACACCCAGCAACTGGTGACGAATGCCGAGCCGATGTCAAAAGACTCATCCTCGCCACCTCCGGTTCATGTACTTGCTTTGAGATCGACCATTTGGCGAAACCAGCGCGGTCATTCAAAAAATGACGTTCAAACACGATAACATGTACACACACGGTCGTGCTCTCTTGCACGCAAAGAGATCAAGACAGGGAAGTAAAACACAACAAAGCTTTTCCCAAAGACAAACTACCACTGTGAAAAATCTCGTTTATCCAAGGACGCAGGAGTCTTACATGTCTTCCTGATCATCATTGGCTTCACCGCCGTCATCTTCGTCGTCGTCGTCGTCGTGGTCGCTCGCTTCGTCTTCCTCATCAAGGTCTTCGTACGCCTCTTCGCCGTCGCGTGCGGTGCGGAGATCTTCTTCAGCGTCGATTTGACGTTCGCGGTCCAGCATGGCTTGGGCCACAGCAATGGTCTTGTCAATGGCCTCGGCAACGTATTTGGACTCGACAGCACTAAGCGCGTGTTCCAGGCGCTCACGCACTTCAACAAAAGTGGTGTCTGTGCGATGCTGAAGTCCAACCTCGCGCTTGACGGCCGTCCAGATCATTTCCATGGGTTGCAGTTCCGAATAGTGCGGTGGCGTGAAGAGGACTTGATGGCCGGCCTGCTCGGCCATCATAACGGCTACAGGTTTGCCGTCCTCGTGTAGGGCATCTTGCAAGTGGCGCCAAAGCATGTCCTTTGTTAGGGTGTCACCACAGGGCAAGCCACGCGCTTCGCAGGCGCGCTGGAGGTCAGCCTTGGGCCAGGTGCGTTTGGGCTCGTTCATCGGGCGGGCCTTGTGATAGGGCGTTTCATCCATGACAATGACGGCGTTGGTGATGCAACGGCGTTGGAGTGAGTCAAGCAGTTTGCCCATCCACTGGGAGAAGTAGGCTCCGGAGAAGGCGCGGTGGAAGTCGACGGGACTGTTATCCTCGAAAATTTCAACGGTGTCGCGAAGCAGCTGGGCATGTTCAGCGTCGACTTCCATGCCTGATGGGCCAGGCTGACCGGAGATGACGGCAGCGCTGAAGCATAGGCGATGACCACGGCCCAGGAAGTGGTGATGAATACAGTTCTCACTGACAAAGACGAAGCGGCGACTGCCGGGCGCAACCTGAGGCGAGGGGCCAGGGGCCATGGCCGGAGGAGCGGCACTGGCCTCTGGCGCGGGGGCGACGGGGGCCTGGGCGATGGGGGGCTGAGCGATTCCTTCTTGGGTCGGCTCTGGCGGGGCGACGGGGGCCAAATGGAGGTAGGACTGCAGTTTTTCAAGAAAGACGCTGCGTTTGCGGAGGACATCATCACGTTCGCGGTACATGGGCTTGCCAGCACGCTTGCAGCGGCGAAAGCCCAGGGCTTTGATAAAGAGCTGGACAACGCGGAGGGTGGAGCGGGCGGCACGATCGCTGGCCACGGCTTCAGGCTGCAAGACCTTTTGTTGGACAAGAAAGGCGACGACGTCCTTGGCGACGGTGCGCTCACGGGCATTGGTGCGTTCATTGAGCCAATCCCTGAGCAGGAAGCGGAGGGATTTTGTGTGGGGGACCTTGGTATGTTTGACGCCACGTGGGCCTTGATTGGGGGCGGGGCTCACGGTACCGCGGTCGATAAACTCACGCCACACCTGGACACATAGGTTGCTTGAGCGATGCAGCATGCTGGCTACGTCGGCAGCAAACTTGCGCTTTTGGCGACGTGTGCTACCACCACTGGCCTTTTGAGTCTTGAAGGCTTCATGGCGGAGGTGGGCTTGGAGTAGGACCATATCAAGGCGCTCCTCGGTCGTCAGGACACGGGGTCGCTGCTTGCGGACGCGGGTGACCAGATCCCGATACTCAAGGTCACTGAGGAGGTCGCGAGTGCGAAGAGGGCGCTTGGCAGGGGGTTCTCCCGTGCCCTCGGCTGCACTGGGATGGCCGACGTTAGGGACGTGGGCCGCGGGTGGGTGAGCCGCCGCATTGGGAGCAAGTGGCAGTTGGGAACGGGAAGGGGCAAGTTCCGGAAGTTCGGCGACGTTGGGCACAGCAGCGGGTTGTTCTGCGGCGGTATCGGCCGAGTTGGTCGTTGTTGCCAGTGGGGGAGCTGGGGGAGGGGCGGAGGCACTGACGGCGACGGCGTTGGTCGTGGAGGTCGTGGAGGGGACGACCGTTACGGTGGTGTCATCATCACCCACCACGGGCGGAGGCATGGGCACACTAGCCATGGCGGACGTTCTCTGATGGTGTGCGCCTGGCACAGCTGCCAGCGATCAACATGACGTGACATGGAGAGGGATAGCCAGCGGTCCACGGGGCGGCGTGAGTGGACTCGAGTGGTGCGTGCGTGCGTGTGTGTGAGTGCGTGTGTGTGGGCAGCGAGGCGCAAGATGGGACGAACCGTTTGACAGCGACGACCAAGCAATGCCTTGCTGAGTGAGCAATCCCAAAGACGTTGAGGGCGCGCACCCCCCAAAGGTGAGGCAATGTGAGGCTTACACGATCATCAAAGGCCACAGCCACACCCGCCACAAAGGGGTCTGGTCCTGGTCCTGGATGTTTTTCTTTTTTTTTTTTCTTCCGCAGACAGCATCAGACGCCGTAAAAGCGCGCCACAGATAGACGACGGAGAGATGAGAGAGATGAGAGAGATGAGAGAGATGAAGACAGATGAGAGAAAGAGAGCGTTAGAGATGAGAGAGATGAGAGAGAGAGCGTGAGATGAGAGAGAGAGCGTTAGAGATGAGAGAGATGAGAGAGAGCGTTGGAGATGAGATTTGAGAGGGTAGAGATTTATAGAGAGATGAGTGAGAGAGATGAGAGATGAGAGAGAAGAGGAAGAGAGAGGTGTGAGAGAGCTTTGTAACGGCTGTTGTTCACTTTGAGAAGGCGAAAGGAGCGAGCGGGTTCAAATTTATCTGACAAATACCCGACCAAGTGTTGAATTCTGTATTGTTCAAGCACAATTTCAACCCGAAATCTGATTGCCAATTCTTGCCATCTTCATCTTGTCACAACAGCTGTTGAGGCCATGTACCCCAGGTGCAATTGTCATCATGGACATCATGCAACTGCGGACATGGTTGACCAGGCGCCGAAGGGTGATGTTGATGATGTTGATGGTGGTGGTGGTGGTGGTGGCGCCAGGGTACTACCACAAGGAGCACGGGCCCGGTTGCCTGTGGTCGTATGCAAGGGGGACTGGTGCAATCCATCCTCTGATGGCTGATGGCCGGCGGTCGGGCATGCGTGACTGGGTGGAAGAAGGACGTTGAGGGGAGCATGTATCCGGATGTATGATGCAGTGGTGGGCAGTTCATGCCAATGATCGTTTCCACCCGTGTCATCGCGCGCCATCAACTCCACCGAAAGTGTGCATGTACCTGTGCCAGACAGACATTGCAAACCTCCCACCGCCAGCACACAAAGTCGCTCGGCTCAAATGCTTCCCAGCCTCGTGTTGGAATCATTTTTCTCCCAGACCCTCCTCTGGCTCAGACGACACGAGACAATCTTGTTACTGATAGTCTTCCGCTTGAAATACACCTGCTGCCCTTCCATCAATCATGGCGCACGAACATCCCACCATGAAGATGGCTGCCGTCATCTACGAAGAAGCCGGCGATGCCAGTGTGCTGCATGTAAGCGTCCCGATTCTCTGGCACTCACCGTCTCACTGGACGCTGCCTCACCCCCTTGCTCTTCTACCCCCTGCTTTCTTCTCATCCCTTGCGATGCTCCTTCCTGCTCCCAGTACACCAAAGCCTTCCCCCGACCTCAAGCCAGTCGCGACCATGTTCTGATTCGCACCATCGCCAGCAGCGTCAACCCTGTCGATGTCAAGCTGCGCAAGCACCCCGTTGCGTCTTTTTTAAGACCCTTGCCAAAGGTTCACGGTTCGTAGCCATCGTGCTCGGAGAACCCCTGGTTATGCTCGCACAAACGCACACCCTGCTCGCGGCAGCTGAGGTGCTCACTCTTCATGCTTCCGTTCCACCGCTGCAACACTCTAGGATCGGACGTGGCAGGCACCGTGATTGAGGCACCTGCGGACAGCGGGTTTCGCGTTGGCGATCCCGTCTATGCCATGATGCCTCATGTGGGCTCAAAGTGGGGATCCACAGCCGAGTTTGCCAGCATTCCCAAGGAACTTGTGGCTGGCGCCCCCACCCGCATCCCCATTGCCCACGCTGCCACCATCCCTCTGATTGGCACAACTGTTCTTCAAGCCCTGGCCCCCGTCATCAAGGACTGGGACGGCAAGACCGAGGGCAAAAAGGTATAAAGACCTTGTCGATCTTACTCTTGAGCGCCGCCTTGCAGAGCCAGCAGTTTAAATTTTGTTGCCACAGTTGTTCGAGTCTTGCTCTTCTTGACATGCCTCTTGCTAACATGAATATTTGCTCCTCTTCTCCGGTTGTCCAGATCTTGATCCACGCAGGCACCGGCGGCGTCGGAAGTTTTGCGATTCAGTACTGCAAAAACGTCCTGAGCATGTACGTGGCCGTCACCTGTAGTGAGAGCAGCGCGGCGCTGGCTCGCGAGCTCGGCGCCGACACGGTCGTTGATTACAAGGTTCGAACCAGCTCGTCTTTGCGCCGCACTCCGTGCACCTGTGTGATGTTGACAAACCCCGCTTCCCCATATCGACTCATCGGCGCATGGTGACACCGGGTTGTGCGTGTAGCACCAACGCTTTGAAGACGTCATCCACGACTTTGATTGCGTTTTGGATCCTATGGCATTTGAATATGAAGAGCGAACCCTTCGATCTGGTGTTTTGGCCAAGGGCGCTCACTACATTCATATTGCCAGCAGTCCCCTGGACATGGAGCCGGGCGACGCTGGAACTGATCACCTTCACATGGCCATCCCAGAAGCCCGCCCGAGCCACCTCGTGGCGCTGAGCTTTCGCAAGTTCAAAAGCCTCTTTGCCAACTACAAGTATCACACTGTCTTTGTCAAGCCCAATGGCGATGCGTTGCGTCAGATCACCGAGTGGATCAATGACGGGCGCATTAAGCCGCTCATTGATAAGGAGTTTTCCTGGAAAGAGGTGGATCAAGCTCATGACTACCTTGCCAAGGGCCACGTGCACGGCAAGCTAATCATCAACCATGTTGACGATGTGGAGGATACACTCAATGGGCTACAAAGCTACTCTCTTGCCGACCGTGAACTGCAGGACAGTGGTAACCAAAACTAAGCCGTTTCAAGTCAACAAAGACATCTTTTGGCTCTTCAATTCCCGCTTGATGTTTGTTCTCTGTCACTTCTCCATCTTGTGTGCTGGGCACATGAAATCGGTCCGTCGAGCGACGCTCACACCGCTCCGTACATAGTAAAACTACTGTCAATTAAAGAGTTTGAAAAAAAAAAAAAATAAAGTGTTGGCTATGCTTATAGCAGTTATGGTCAGGCGTATGGGTACCATAGAACAGCATAAAGGCTTGGGCCACGCCATCCTGGCTCCGTCGATTCGGGCTCTCCATCAGGTTAGGGTCACCAAGTGGTTCAAAACCAGCTCTTATTTAGGTGAGGTTGAGTTGAGAACTGAAGTAAAGGCCTCCTACAACAACACGAGCGAGTTTCATGATATTCACGAGGAAGGAGAAGGAGATGTCGAGAAGAGCAGCCAAGCAATAAATAAACCATCAACAATGCCCAGCTTCAAAGCCGAACTTGCGGCTTGATCATACCTTGGGCAGCTGAATCGAGTTGATGGCGCGCATGCGCTTTTTGCCCTCCTTCTGGCGAGACAGCAGCTTCTTTTTCCGTGTGATATCACCACCATAACACTTGGCCGTCACATCCTATCACGCCAAATCAGCCCACCATGCGTGAGGCACCAAGCGACACACCACCGACACTTGGGCGATTCTTAATGTCCTGGTGCACATACGAACCTTTCGGAAAGGGCGCACAGTCTCACGGGCAATGATTTTGTTCTTGGCAGACGCTTGAATAGCAATCTCCACCAGTTGGCTATCATGCAGGGCGATGTGAGGGTTGTGGTCATGGGAACCCAGAACTTCGAGCTGATGGGTGCCCCTCCCCCCCCCCCCCCACCCGGCCCACCAATGCGGATCAATCCACTGGCCTACGTTGGGTCTATCGACTAACCGGGGGATGGTTTCCTTGAGCCGCTGGCACAAGGCCTTGCCTTTGGAAAAGGCGCGCGATCCATGGGTCATGATAGACAGTGCGTCCACAGGATCACCGTTGAGCATGATTTGCACTTTGACAATGTCTGACACCTTGTAGCCAATCTCTTCATAGTCAAATGTGGCATAGCCCGAGGAAGCTGATTTGATCTGATGGGGTGCAAACGAGAAAAATCAGGGAATGAACACTTTGGGCGAAAAAGAAGTGTGTCAAGCTGCATGGGCCATTTTGCAGCAGAATGCCAAGCCAGCGCAACTGTATACCTTGTTGTAAAAATCCTCGACAACTTCTGCCAGCGGCAGTTCATACCGCAGCACAACGCGCTGCTCATCAATAAAACTCAACTCCTTCGAAGAAGACCCAGCCGCGAGGGTGCGCATTGAGTAGAGGCGAACAGTGCGGATGAAGCCATGGCGGGCCATCGGCAAGAAGCTTCACCATCACGACAAACAGACCTTTTGCACGCCACGATGGTCCTCACAGAGGGAGAGCATGGCACCCGTGTACTCTTGGGGGTGAACGATTGTACCCATGACCATGGGTTCTTCACAAAAGTCGATGTCAGCCAATGCCGGAAACTTGTCGGGAGATTCCACCTCGAGGAGCTCGCCTTGTTTCGTGTGCACCCTGAAACAGACTGAGGGGGATGTCAACAAAACTTGGATATCATACTCCTGCTCGAGGCGCTGAGAAAAGACCTATGAATATGCATGCAAAGAGAGCAAGAGCACGCATTCACCTCGGTCAGGGTGGCCTCGATAGCATCAGAAGAAGTGTGCTCGCGTGTATGCAGCCAGTTGTAAGCCTAGGTCAGAAGACAGGCACGAATACCTCCATGTGCAGGATGCCCAAAAATCCAAGACGCCAACCAGGCCCGAGGGCTGCATTGACATCTCGGGCCACGCTGACGGCAGGATCGTTGAGTACGAGACGGTCCAGAGCAGCCGACAAAGCCTCATAATCAATCTGCCGGCAGAGCAAACCACAGGCCACGGTGAGCCAGGCCTATACGCCTTGAACAATCTGTATGTGCGCGTTTCCGCTGGCCTCTTACAAACAAGAAAAAAAAAAAAAAAAAACCTAAAGGCGTGAACGCGTTCTCGACGAACCTGAGCGACAGGATAAAGGCCTGAGAAGACCATGGCTTTGGCTGGTTTGAAGCCAGGCAAAGCTTGCACGGGTTTGCCACGTTGGTAGAATGTATCGCCTACGCGCACTTCTTGGCGGTCCTTGATGTTGCAAACAACGTAACCAACTTGGCCAGCGTAGAGTCCATCTGTTGGTCGTTGCTCTGGATACATGACACCAAGTTCTTGCACCTCGTAGCTGAGGTTGGTGGCCGCAGAGGTCAAGCGGTCCCCTGGCCGCATACGACCGTCCATCAGCTAATAAGCGCCCGCCATGCATAATGGGTCGAGGGAGCAAGAACGCGGCCCCAAAACGAGACATCCATCGAAAAATACAAGCGCAAACAGATGAGCAAGCTGATATGTGCCAGCCATGGGGATGCATCAAGGACAGGAATCGAGAGAATGGTAGTTGGATGAGTCGTTCAGATAGAATGACCGGTCTTGTGATGGGAGGCTGACGTACCTCAACAAGGGCAATCACCCCTCGGTATTCGTCATACCAGCTGTCGAAAACTAAAGCACGCAGCGGGGCCTCACGGTCCGCACTCGGGGGCGGTACGCGTTGGATGACATGGTGAAGAATTTGTTCAATGTTCAAGCCGGTCTTGCCTGCAGTCACCCACCACCGAAAGATACCAACAAAAGGCGAGAGTCGTTGAGTTTGATGGCGCAGATGGACAAAAATCTGGCGTTATGTTGCGAGCGCAATGTTGCGAACCTGAAACAAGGATGACGTCCTCGGGGGCAATATCAAAGAGCGATTCCATTTGGGCTTTGCAACGCTCAACCTCAGCACCGGGTAGATCAATCTTATTGAGAACGGGAATGACGGTAAGGTCCTTTTCAAAGGCTAGGAAGAAATTGGCGAGGGTTTGGGCTTGCACACCCTGTGCAGCATCGACGACCAGGATGGTGCCTGGAGGGCCAAAGACAGGCGGAGAGGGTCAAGGGCTCAAGGGAGCATTGTCAGGTTCGATTCGACTGGCTGGGGCTCGTATTATACCTTGACAGGCAGCCAGGCTGCAAGACACCTCGTAGCTAAAGTCAACGTGCCCGGGTGTGTCAATCAGGTTCAGCATGTATTCCACACCCTCGTGGGTGTAAAATGAAGTCGCTGTCTATGAAGATGACACCGGTGGCCCAGGTAGAGCTGGGTCAACTCTTGGTGTGGGATTCAGTCAATCGGACAGGGCCAGATTCTCGCATGACCTTACCTGTGCCTTGACTGTGATGCCACGCTCACGCTCGACTTGCAGCTTATCAAGGACCTGGGGTCGAGCCATTATGACATCATTGTGAGACAAGCGCGTTGCCATTTGTGTAGGTGGGGAGGCACCGACCTGTTTGTTGCTGCCTGTTTTGGAGATGGTGCCGGTGAGCTCAAGGATTCGGTCCGCAATCGTGCTCTTGCCGTGGTCGATATGGGCGATGATGCTAAAGTTGCGGACCTTGTCTGCCTCAAGCAAGGCCAGGTCTTTCTGCGAGGGGGCCGTCGTAGCGTGGTAGAGCAGCGCGCGATGTCAGCAGCCAGGCTCGGTGGGGGACACGCGACAACATCCGAGGTGTCGCAAGGGCACAACCAGCTTCGCAGCTCGTGCGTACCTGCAGAGGCTGTGGCTTGGCAGCGTAGCGGCGTGTGCAGGGCTGGCTGCGAGCCAGTGCAGGTAAACCCGTCCTCTGGTGCACCTGCGCCCTCAGGCGGCGCACCAGTGCGCTGGCCATGACCAGCCCTAATGCGATGCGGACGCTATACCACGCAAACGCGGTCCAAACACTCCCACAGCTCGACCAGCTCGACCAGCTCGACCAGCTCGACCAGCTCGATCACCAGAATCGTCAGTCAGTGTGTGTGTGTGTGTGTGTGTGTGTGTGTGGTGCACGAGGGCCAAAGCCTCAAAATACAACAACTTGTTTTTTCGTTACACACTGGAAATGGATTTCCAACAACCATTGAGGGATGGGAAAGTTGGATAGTAAAGTCCCTGTGGAGCTGCCATGGCCGGTTGTGGCATGAGACGCATGGCATGGAGTTGAGTGCTTCTTTTGCTCGTCAATTTCAGATTTGATCCATGAGTGACAGAGTTCTAGGAACGCGGCGGTGGTGGTATTGGCTCGAGGGTGCTCAGCACCACAAAACTCGAGTGTACATGATGTGTGTGTGTGTGTGGTTGGGTTGGGGGAGGAAATTTAATCCGAGTGCTCAACAAACAGGTTCTCGATGCGTGCTCGAAAACGGCTGGGAGAAAAAGGTCAAGCCAAGTGTCATCCGGGGTGAGAGACGGCGCACGGTGCGGCAATTCAACGCGTGAGACCATCATAGTGGGTCGTACCGATTGGTGATGGTTTCGCCATGTTTGGCAAAGGGATCGCACATGGCCTCGGCGTACAAATCGTGGACTTTGCGTAAGCACTGCATCGCGTGGTAAATAAAACCAACAGAACCAAAGCAAACCAAAACCAAAAAGGTCAATCAACACCCCTGGCGCGACAACCCTTGCAGGCCAAATTTCGGCGTCGTAAAAGCTTTGCAGGCCATGAACGTACGTCACGAGGTTCCGTGTCGTTGACGCCCCCGCTGACGATGAGAAGGAAAGAAGTGTTAGTGTTGGTCAGATATCCATAACTACAGTGGTATGATGCAAAGTGCATTTATTCAGGCCAAGCCCCATTAGAAACGAGCGGTCGTTTCGGCTCGCCCAATCCAATAAACCTGGCGCTCGAGCCCACGCCTTTGCCCTCTTGAGTCGCTTTCACTTGAGCAGGTGAGACTCGAGCACCCCAAGCCCACGTACCAGCGCATGTCATCTTGGGGGAGCATGCCGCCGAGAAAACATTCCCTCTTCTCAGAGTCGGATTTGCTGACGATCAAGCCTATCACAGCGGCGGTGCACGCATCTGTAGATCAAGCGCATGCAGCTGGTGTAGTCTCATCAACGAGGCGTTGGCGGTGCCGTCGCGTAGAGCGCAAGAGACATACTCTTATCCTCGATCACGTCGAGATTGGCAAAGAGATATTGCTGGCAGGTCACCTCGTCCAGCTCAGGCACTCGATGCAAAAACTGGAGCTGGTTCTAGAAGAAAAAAAAAGGCATGCAAAAGCATTATGCATGTGTGAGCCAGTGCATGTCTTTCCATCCTCATATCCACCCCCACACGGTATATCCGACCTTGCGGCCCACCACCGCGACAGCCATCATCCGCATCCTGTCCAGTGAACCAAAAAAAAAAATGAGAGAGAGAAGAGAGAGAGAGATTTAGAGAGAGAGAGATTCAGAGAGAGAGAGAGAGAGGTGCAGTGAGAGAGAGATTCAGAGAGAGATTCGGAGAGAGGTTCAGAGAGGGAGAGAGAGAGATTCAGAGAGAGAGATTCGGAGAGAGAGATTCAGAGAGATTCGGAGAGAGAGAGAGATTTAGAGAGATTTAGAGAGAGAGAGATTTAGAGAGATTTAGAGAGATTTAGAGAGATTTAGAGAGAGAGATTTAGAGAGATTTAGAGAGATTTAGAGAGAGAGAGATTTAGAGAGAGAGAGAGAGAGAGAGAGATTTAGAGAGATTTAGAGAGAGAGAGATTTAGAGAGAGAGAGAGAGAGAGAGATTTAGAGAGATTTAGAGAGAGAGAGATTTAGAGAGATTTAGAGAGAGAGAGAGAACAAACTTTCAAGAGCAAACTGCTTTTAACAGCTGCGGCGTCAAGATGCGGGTTGTGCGGGAGGGCAAGGTGGTGTTGACCGCGGATGCAGCAGGTCTGGGTTTGGATGGATCGCTGGCTGGAGCTCAATGCAGGGGAAAATGGGTCGGGGTGTGGGGTTGGTTGGTTGGTTTGAATGCATGATTTTCATAGCCATGACCATGTATAGGTCCTGGTGTCCATGAGCGACCACCGCGCAGTTTTGGGACCTTTGCGCGCGATGTTGCGGCAGCCTTCTTGCCCCATGGCTTTCCACACTCCGTTTCCGACGATTATCTGGCTTATCAGACCTGGGACACCCTGCAAGTTCGTGACATAATCATAATCCCTTGATGTGGCTGGTTGGCTGTCTGAGGGACTGAGCACCCTGGCACCTTTTTTTTTTTTGCTCATGATGCTTATGAATGCTGCGGCATCGAATTTAGGCTTTTTGCTCATCCATTTCTGGCACGCTAGCCCAGCAAGCGGTGCTGAAGGTACAAAAGCGCTGGTCTACGTTGGGTCATTTCACTAGCACTCGGTTTACAAAGGGGGTAGTTGCCAAGGATCGCGAGCCATGTCATTGGTTTCTGCTGAATACATACTACGCTCTGACAGGGCATCGGCGTAGGGGATGCCACGGCCACTGCTGCAGCTGCAACCATGACCCAGATTCTGCGCGATGCCACCGGCATGATTGGCAGCATCTCCTTTGCTTGGATTCAGGGATCAGACCTGGACAACAACGCCAAGCAGTGGCGCTTGGTTAGCCGACTCGGACGCGTTGTGCGACAGCGTCTGCCCCCAGCGTCGTGTTCTCATCGGTCGTCAATCATCACAGGTGGCCGACGTGCTCAACGACACAGCCATGCTCCTCGAGCTGATATCACCCCTGCTCCCCGCGTACTTTCTCTTCCTGGTTTGCGTGGCTAGTCTAGCACGCGCCATCGTCGGCGTAGCAGGCGGTGCCACGCGAGCCGCCTTGATTCAACACCAGGCCCGGTCTGTGTGCTTGCAGTCTTGGCCCCTCCTCGAGTTCAATGACCGAGTGCTACTGACGGTGCTGTTAGCATGAAAGCCTCATGGTTGTTTGCATGTCATGTCTCCTACCATAGTAACAACAACATGGGAGATGTCGCCGCGAAAGACGGCTCACAGGAAACATTGGTCAACCTCGTGGCTCTTCTCGTGAATCTTATTCTCGTTCCTCTTGTCAGCCAAAATGCGGTGCGTCTTCAGTATTCAGTTGGATGGCGAGAGACCGTGCCCAGTGTAAAGCTGCAATCAACTCACCTTGTCCACTTTCCACGATGTAGCAAGTTGTCTGGTCCCTCTTTGGCCTGAGCACGTGTTGCCATATTTTCTTCAACTATAAGGCCGTGCGCAGCCTATGCATGACGCGCCTGAATGGGCGGCGAGCCCACCTAATCGTGGAGCACTATACTCGTCACCAGCAGGTATGTAAGCTAAGCAATGCATGTGCTCATTCCTGAGAACGGAACTGCGGCAGCTCTTGACCGCCTAGCACTGCGGTGACTTTATGGGGACCGCTTGTGGTGCGCCGACTTGAACAAGAGGCTGACGCCTGCTTCTTCCTTTCTTGCTTAGATTTTATCTCCAAAGATTGCAAATCAGCGCGAGCCCTTATTCTTTGATCCAGTGGCCCAGCGCATTCAGCTTGGCGCCTCCCTGTTGCAACTGTAGGTGAACCCGGGCAAACTTCTTGGGTTGTCTGACTTGCAGATCTGTCTTTCTCCTCGAATTCTTTTTGAATGGTCAGGGAACAAGGCATTCTAAAGTTTAAGGTTTTTTTTTTGGTCCTCATGACTTCATGTGTCAGGCCCACCGAGGCTTGGTCGGCTGTTCAACAGGAGCTTGTCGCACATCGATATGCAGTTCACCTGCATGGTGGCAGATACGCTGTCATTCTGGCCGAAGAGGCAACGCCGGCTGATATGCAGCGGGCCTATTTCTCAGCGCTGTTCTCGCACTACGAAATGCAAGACACTACACCGGGCTTGGTACGCAGCGAACCCACGACCGCCGTGGATGCCGTCTTGTCGCAGCTGGCAAGCCAAGGCTGGAGTCCCACCGTGGCCCAGTATTATGATCATGGCTATCGTGTTCAACTTGAGGATACCCGGAAGAAGTTCAATTAGAGGTCCAATCCCCATAATTGCCGCTCCTCAACGTGAACAAACGCAATTAAAAAAAAAAAAAAATGGAATGAATACCTGACTTGAATTATTTGGGTGCAAGTCCATAGCTTTCTCCATGAGACGAGCGTTTGTCCTGGTCGAGTCTGTGCTCTGGCCATGATTTCAGGTCAAATTGTCTTATGCATCTCCACAAGCTCTTGGTTTGCGTTGACAATCAATTGTTAAATCGCAGTCAGAGGCACCGCATGCTTTTCACATGGATCAATGCTGGCCCACGACCAAACCTTTCTCCGCTTGAGCAGGGCACGCACGTCACACATTCAGCCACAGTCCAACCCCCCAACCCCGACACCCTTTGATAGTTACGCACTGGCGGTGCCCTCTTGAGCCGGGGTGAGATGACCTTGTGTTTGCTGAGAATCAGAGTGCAAAGGGTTTGAGTGGCGCGGAGCGCGCTGGACCATCTGTCGCGTCGCGCGCTGGGCTATTTGATGCCTGGGTGGCCATCATTTTCACCCTTGACGGCCAGTGCAGGCCTTGCACAACTTGATCGCCTCGTCCAACTTGACCGCCTCCAACGCCTCGACCAGCTTCTTACGAGCGTCGTTGTCCTCCAGCATATCTTCGGCCACGCGAGCCAATGCATAGCCGTCGTGCGACTTTCTTAGTTCTTGATTTGGCCTAGCATCCGGATGGCGGTACTTTTCAAGGTCGTCTTTGTGGTTGTAGCTTGGGGCATACGTTGCTTTTTCTTTGAGAAAGCCACCCAAGTCAAAATCAATCAGAAAAGCCATCGGCTGCTCGACTGTCGCCATCTCAGTTTGCACAGCTTCTTTGACCAGGCCTGCTTCCACTGGAGCTGCTTCCATTGGAACTGCTTCCGCTGAGGCTGCTTCCGCTGGAGCTGATTCCGCTGAGGACTCTCGACTCTGTGGAGATGCGCTGGGCATAGCTTCGGAGCTGTGCTGCCCCTCCTTCTCCCAGCTTGGCGGCTGAAACATCCAATCCTCTGGCTGCCAGTTGTTGCAAAAAAGAATGGTGCGAGGCAAAATATCGCCGTGCACAAAGCCAAGGCTATGCAACACTTGCAACTGCTTCGTGACATCGATCAGCTGGAGCTGCGCATTGGGACCGCAAGGGGCTGTCTGCACTCGTGGGTATCGGAGGAGCACTACCTCGGTCGCAAGCTCCTTCACCACCCACGCCCGGTAAAACTTGCCCGCCTTTGGCAATTGGCCAAGCGCTTGGAGCAGCTTGAGTGATGGTGGTGGGCGGGCATCACGGGAATCAATCTGGTACGCCTCTGTACCCAAGGCCCCAGGTTGGCAGCCCCAATAGTCGTAGTGCTTGACAACCCACGACCCGGCACTGGCATGTTCGTACTGCTGCACATTGGCCCCGGACGTTTCGATGCAGGTCCACTCTTCCATGCCCCGAGCCGGGCAGGGAAAGGGCTCGGAGGCAAACGGCAATTGAGTTTTTTTGGTACGACAATACTGGATGATATCACGCAAGGGACCCGACAGAAACTCGTTGCAAGCTGTCAAAAGCGCCCAGACAGCCCGCTGGTCGTTGCGGTCGGTGGAAATCTGAGCGGATCCAAGTCGGAGAAAAGCCAGATGGTATGCCTTCTTGAGGCCCGTCATCTTTTCAACCAGAGCAACTGTCTCCTGGCAGGTCAAGTGCAGGACCAGATAAGCGGTCACAATGTCATCACACACATTGATGTTGATGAGCGGATAGAACAGGTGTTGCCTCTCCTGTGGAATGTTGTACTTTGTCGGCAGGATGCCAAGGCGCACAATCTGGTTGCCCACGTGGCCACCAAAGTTGTCAAAGTGCTTGAAATGCTCTTTGCACTTGCCCATGACGACCGGGTGCAGGTCAGAGTCAAAACCCACCCAGTCAGCGGGCATGGTGCCCATCCCGATGGGCACCCGGTGCATAAGGATCACAGGCTTCAAAAACCCGTGCAGAGCCAGGGAGATTCGCGTCGAGTAGTACGATTCGTGCCTCAGGTGAGGCGCCTTGACGAGGGTTTGATGTGCGGCTGTCAAATCGGTATGAATGCCTTGTTGAGGCAGTCGAGCAGACAACAGCTCTGCAGCTCGCTGGACAATCTCAAGGGCCAAGTAATGGCAGCTTGGAGGCAGCTCCACAATACCAAAAACGTCCTCCTCATTGTTGTTGATGTCACTAATCTTTGGGGTCTGCGAAGGTGGCTTGGAAGGCAAACAGGCTTCCGCGTTTGAAGATGACGCCTTTTCAACCCAAGTGTGCCCTGAAAAACCAAGCCAAGAACAAAACACAACACACCACAAAAACATTGGCAGTCCCAAGGCACCGTGGTGAGCTTGAGCGTCGGGTTGGTACACCAAAGCATGCGGGTAACGGAACGGCTGTCGACTTTCACGCCCAGGTAAAACTTTACCGGAAATGGGCAAATTGGTCTCAAGTAGGGCACAGGAGACTTTGTGGTCCTGGCATCGAGAGTACATCAGGGAGAGCTGCTCTGCTGACATGCTGGCCAGATGCTCAAAAAGGCCAGAGTTTTGAGGCAACTCGAAATGATCCTCAAGGTATCCATACTGACGAGCACACAAACCAGGTGGGTAAGCTGTAAGTTGCACATCACTTAGGGGGGTCGCGAGAAGACCTGATCAACCAACCACTTTGTTCCGCTCGCACTCCTCGCGCTCCTCGCGCTCCTCGTGTTCTGCTTGTGCTTGTGCTTGTGCTTGTGCTTGTGCTTGTGCTTGTGCTTGTGCTTGTGCTTGTGCTTGTGCTTGTCGCTCCTCGTGCTCGCGCTCTTTGCAAAAACGATCCAGCCGCAAGTCCTTCTCCTCAGCACTGAGGTTTAAAGCATCGAGGGACTTCAGATATGCAAGCAAGTTCGGATCCGCATCCTGAGCCATGCTTGTGGGTCTTGCGTTCAACAACACACACACTGAGAGCCAGGAGTAGGTAGGTAGGTAGATTGGTAGGCAAGAGATCAAACCAGCGAAACAAGCAGAGGAAATAGGACAGTCCAAGGCTGACAAGAAGTAAGAAAAAAATGCACAACCAGCACCCTCAAACATCGAGTCTGAAAAGCTTCATCGTCTAAAAATACACATTTTAGCTCGGTTTTCGGCGTGCGCTGCCGAACGGCTCGAAACGGTTTTTCTGAGCCCATTGTTTCGTACCCGTGCCGAACATTGTTTCCTTGCACGTGACCAAGCTCATCCAGCTCCGACACGTGTCATCGTCGCTCGAACAGACCACATCAATGACATTACTGTGCATGCGTTTGTCAAAGTGCCCAAGGTCAGCGGCAGTTCGGTCCGATGAGCAGGATCGATTCACTGCGAAAGTGCACGAGTGTATGAGATGTATCTGTGGAAGCGAGGGGAACCGATGGACGTGGGCTGATAAAAGGCAAGCACACGCGTGCACACGAGGGACAAGGGTGGGTATGCTTGACATGGAAGCCATGCCAAGACGTCAGTCAATTGGGTACAGACACGCATACAGGAATGTTATTTTCCTCTGGTCCAGGAGAGGACGAATCGGCTGCAATGTATGAAGCGAGCTTCAAGACAGGCAGCTCGCCAGACGAAATTAGGCGAATCAGAGTTTGCGGCCACTTGATGTCAATTTGCAGCACAGCATGAACGTGTTCGCTGCGTCAAGAAAGAAAGAGATCAAGCTGACGGCATCCATCGGGTTGACTCGGGGGCTGGGGCAAGTCTCAGCTATGGCTTGCTCGTCAACGTCGCGACACAGGATCATGACTGGGGATAGTGGTTCTAATTCAGGCACGGCCAAACCCCCACGGCTGTTTGCATTGCAAGTCGAGTCAGCTGACCAGACAGCGGAAGAGTGTCATGTCTGAGGCACACCGCAGTCACTTTGTGCCGAACATGGTGTGGTCCAAAGTAGAGATGTGCAGGCCACTAAAAAGACATGTCAAGGACAGCCACAAGCGAGAAAGAAACCCCATGCCATCTAGACGTTTGTTCAGCAACTTGAAACGCCCACATCCTGGTCACCTCGGCCCCTCTCGGTCCGCTCAGGGTGCAGCACACCCAGACGTGTGTCTAGTCGCGCGCACCTCAATAGAACCCCATCTCCACTTCATAGGAATAGTTGCACTACAGCACGCCAACACAGACACACAGACACACAGACACACAGACACACAGACACAGACACAGACACAGATACAGACACAGACACAGACACAGACAGACAGACAGACAGACAGACAGACAGACAGACAGACAGACAGACAGACAGACAGACAGACAGACAGACAGACAGACAGACAGACAGACAGACAGACAGACAGACAGACAGACAGACAGACAGACAGACAGACAGACAGACAGACACACACACACACACACACACACACACACACACACACACACACACACACACACACACACACACACACAGACACACACACACACACACACACACACAAATACAAAAAACGAGGGTCCATGACATCCTTCAATTTATAATACTAAGCCAAGAACCTTCGTGTGCGTGCGAGCTCCCCATTGACCCGACGTGGCGACTGCAGAAGTGAAAAGAGCGGCGGAGCTGTTGCCTGCTGTGGGGTGTGTGTGTGTGAATGCAGCAGGCGTGATGGCGACGATGGCGGGGTGCAGGCGTTGGTTGGGGTTGAGGCGGGCGTTGGTTGTGGGGTTGGTTGTGGTGGTCTTGGTCGCTCGCGTGGGGGTTGCGGCCGCCGGTGCAGATGACGACGATGACGTGGTAAGGTGCCGCATGGCGTTGTGAGCGGCGGTTCTCTTTCGGCTCTGAGGCGCGTCAACCTGCGAGGTGGGGCCATGGCTAAGCGTGTTGGGTTGCATGCGCGTGGTGTATCTGGCAGGATGGCAATCAGTGCCAAAATGTGACTTTTAAGCACGGCAACGTACGCTGCAAGTGCACCTGCCCCGTCGTGGCCACTACTCTGAACAGCACGGAGGGCCTCAAGGCCTCGAGCTGCGATGTCAGCCGCAAAAACTACGACGCTGGCGGTTCGTATTTGCGTGTGGTGGTGACTGATGGCCCTCCGAGTCGTGAGGGCATGCTGCCGTGGACAACTCGAGATTGAGTTGAAGCCAGCGCGGGGTGCTCATGCTCCACTGGCGGGACTTGCTTTTGGTCGCCAGACAAAACCGTGTGTGGAAAAGAAACCTGTGTAAGCTGCATCAATGACCGTGTGACCAAGACGGAGCGTGAGTGCTCCTACACCATCGTCGTTTCAGACGAGTCGCAGTGGTATGTGCATGGCCATCGCCCGGTATTTGGTGGCCTCGACCGTCTCCCTGGACCAAAGACATGCCGTACATGGGGCCCGTGACATGAATGTACGCTGTGCTTCACTGCTTGCCTTCCACACATAGCTCTTGCCAGAACGTCATGCCGAGCAATCAAGGCCCCAACGTGACGGATGCCACGGTAGGTGTCTCTTCAGCTGCCCAGAACCGCGGGTTGAGGTCACAGTATTGGCTCTGCCCACTTGAAGACATTTGTGCATGCAGTCCCATCCTTTGTTTGTTTGTTCATATGTGTTGGCATGTGTGTGTCTCTCTTGGATCATCTCTAATAGGCTTCCATGTGTGATCTATGCACGTGTACGTACGAGGCCCGCAACACACACCTTATCAAGGGCACGGTCATCTCCTTCATGGTCGTGGCCAGTCTTTTGGTGTTGGTGGCTTGTATCAATGCCTTGCCACGTCGTCGTCAGGTGTGTCTTTGTTTTTGCTCGGGCCCCTTCTTGTCTGCCCAAGCGTTCTTCCTCGTCTCGAGGCGAGCTTGAGAAAACGGCTCTTTGCTGATTTTCCATTCCGCCTTTCCCATGGTGTTTCCCGTGTTTCAATAGTTCTTCTCAGTCACGGCCGACGAGGCCCGCCCCTTTTCAGTGTCGGGGAGCGAGAGCAGTACCTCTGCCTCTCGCCGTGCAGCCTCGGGTCTTGAGGAGGAGGCCGACAATGACTCGGACGAGTCGCAAGACGAGGCCCCGTTGTTGCCCAGTGAAGGGCGAACCGCCAGCACGAGTGCGACCGCCGTGTCTTCAACTGCATCGCATTTCAGCATGAAACAACGCATCAAAGGACTCTTGCAACGCAATGCCTTTCGATCAGAGATTGGCTTTTAGACGTTCACACCCTCTCCGCCCCGAACCAAGGTCAACGACATTTCCTCTTGACCAGTTCGACCCTAGTTTAAGTAGCCCTTTTTGCTTGTGTAAACGATTTTTCCTTCTTGTTTCCAGATGCCCCTGGTCTTGATGCCTCGCCTTTCCAAACCGGCCCCTTTTCTTTCATTGGGCCTATTCTTCAAGATTTGGTGGGTCTCTTTCGATTCAATCCACATCGAGATGTTGTTCATGTATTGCCGTCGACGAGACTGCCCCGAGACAGATGATGCAGTCCAGAACGTTGAGCAGACGCACACTCTGGCCATCATCGCCAAGCGGGTATGTTGACACATGGGGATTCATATCATGTCCATCCACCCTGAGGCACACAGACAGACAGATAGATAGACAGACAGATAGACAGAGACACAGACAGAAAGACAGACACAGACAGACACACAGAGACACATACAGACACAGACAGACACACAGACACACAGACACACAGAGACACAAAGACAAATGTCAGCAATTCTAAATTTCTTGGCTGTTGTTGGGATGGCTGGGCCTCTTATTGGGCAGCCGCTCGATGCGCATCCCCGGGTATGTATGGTGGCGTTGAGGCTGCCATGTCGATCTGGAAGGGGGGTGGGCTGTATGCGGGTAGCAGGATAGCAGATGCTCTGTGTGTATGTGTGAGTGTGTGTGTTTGGGGGAAGGGACAAGGGCGTGTGGGAGGTTCTGGCTCATGTTTGGGCTTGCATGCTAGCGGGATGAGCTGTGCCGGTACGCCAGAGAGGACCCGCGTCTCGCCACGGCTACCCTGCTCACCTACGTCGACTTGTCCGAAGGTCAGTGCCAACAATGCTAGCCACAGGGGTGAATACGTTTCTCTTCCCGCTTTTGTACAGAAGCCAATGCTTGTTCACAATGCTCTGCACGTAGCCAAAAATTGGCGCAGCCTTGATATCCGTCACCATGAACGCTTGCGGCTGGTCTACCTGGTTGGGCGAATGGGTTTGAAGGTGTGCCCGTCTCAAACGACGTGCTCGTGTGCGCGCGCGTGTATGTGTGCCTGTGCAGTGCTCCCAGTTTGACGTTTCCCGCACATTGGACTTTGTAGAAACCGTTGGAAGTTATAATTCCAGCTCTGGCTGATCGGGATCTCCAGTTACAAACGTACGCAGTGGTGTCACGAGCACACTGTCACCAAAGGCCGGGTGGAGACACCAGGGTTTACAATATGCCAGACAAACTCATTTGACTTTGCAACGCAGCATGCACCAGTACTATACCGAAATCACCGACCCTAACAGCGAGCTCAATACGCCCATTCAGAGGTGCGCAGGTCGTTTGTATGCCCCCCCCACCCCTCCTCCCCACGGCCACCGCCACGCCAGCAAAGGTTGCCGGAAAATTTCACTCCCATTTGGTCCTTGCCTTTGATTTCAGCTTTGTGCTGGGTATCATGGCCGACGACTCGACTGTGGTCTACTATCGCTTCTCCCAAGGCCTACAGGCCCCGCCTGAGAGCTTGATTATGCAAGCCACAGCCGACGACGACTAGACACGTTGCCGGAAGCAGCAATCATGCCTGTTGTTTCATCATCGTTGTTACCGAGCGCAAGCAACCTTTGTTCCGAGAAATCGGCCTTGATAGGCACAGCGTGCCCCCTTCTTCGACCTGAGGCTCATCGCCAACCTGCCAATACGACACGTTTTCCTTAAACCCTCGAGCATGTCTTTATTACCCGCCTGCTCATTTGTCCTTCGTGCCTGAACAGAATCGATTTTTTTTTTCCTCAAATGCAGCCCGCGGTACATGCTTTTGTAGAACTTCAATTTAACTGCACGGCTTCCTTTGAATGCTTGTAATGGATGCAACAAGCACAAATGCTGAGGTTTGAGCATTCGGTTATGCAGCACACGTCTGCGCTTACTCTGCGCCCCAAAGCTTGAAGGAGCGATCATACGACGATGTGGCAATCAAGCTTGCATCTGCAAAGAAAAATACAGTAGACATCCATCATTAAAGACATTCATGAGCTTCTGATCTGCCGAAACAAAAATGTGATGGGTCCCGCTTTGTGCAAACAGCACCCAGTCACAGACCCTTATCGTGATGACAGGGGGGCATGGATATCGTATTTTTGATAGCTTACCGGGGCTAACATCAATGGACATGATGCGGCTCTCATGGCCCTTGAGTGTGCGCACGGGAGTGCACTCTGGAGCTTGCCAGACCTTGGCCGTCTTATCGTACGAGGAAGTTACAAAGAAATTGCCGCTTGCTATAAAAATGCAGACACACACGAGGCCCAGCGATGTGAGCCCAAGGTACAAGTGGAGGTCAGAGATCAGGCGAGGCAAGATCGGCTCAGACACACTTACGGTGATAACGCAGCTGTGAAATGAGGTTGGTGTGGGCGGGCATTGTGTATACACAGGTGGACTTGCGCAGATCCCAAATACGCACCTAGAAAGAGCGCACCGCATGTTTAAAAGGCAGAGTTGAGCGTGACAACTGGCAAATGTGCATAGCACAGCGTAGCGTTGCAGGTCATCCAGCCGGAAGCGGGGACATGCAAGGACGTGGGCTGAACATGCGCTCCTTACCGTGTGATCGTCACTGGCAGTGGCAACATGAAAGCCATTGGGGCTAAAATCAATGCTCAGGACCTGCTGGCGATGACCCGTCAGCACCAAGATGTTCTTGCCCGTGCGCAGATCCCAAATTCGGCCGTAGCAGTCCAAACTGGTCGTGCCAGCCAGCTACAGGCAACGAGGTCGTGCGACATGAGCAGAAGAAAGACAGTACAGTACCACACAAAGCTCAATAAACGGGAGACAAGAGGCGTGCGGCACCAGCAGCCAAACGCCAGAAGTCAATATGTACGTACCGAGCCATCTGGGTGGAAGGCAATGTCGTATACTGGCATGGAATGCCCCTCTTGATGCAGCACTTCAACGTTTTGTTCAAGGTCGAAAAGGCGCCATGATTCGTCAAAGCAGGTTGTGCCAAGAAAGCGACCACTGGGGTGAAAACGGGCGCGCGCCACGCGCATATCATGGCCATCCAGTGTTTGCAGAGGCGTGTCCTTCTCCATGGACCAGAGGTGTACGGCACCATTCATGTCACAGGAGGCCAGGTTGATGGCACCCGGTTGTTGATCCAGCCCCGAGCGAGGGTGCCACTCGACGGCACTCACGCGCTCTTCGTGACCTTTGAGTGTTTTTTGAAGCTGAGCGAAACGCCAAGTACATGAGTTCCAGGGCACTTCAAGGATGCGGGGATACACATGCGTTGCCAAGGTCAAGCTGTGATTCAGATGCACAGGATCACTTTTGGCCTGTGACCAACCTTGCAGTCCGGCACCGACCAAAGCTTGACAAGGCCACTCCAGGAAGAAATGGCCAACGACTTGCCATCAGGGCTAAATCGGCAATGTGATAGGGGCCGCGTGTCGCCAACCTCACTGGCCTGTGCAATAAACTCTTGCAAGCGAGCGAGCGTACGCTGCTTGGTGGCTACCTCTTCTCGATCCGTCTTGGCCAAACGAAGACGGGCAGCTTTCAGGCGTTCACTAGCACGGGGCAGGGAATAATCGGCCAAAAAGCGACGCGCCACCTCCAACTCAGCGGGGCCTTCGTGATACCAAATGTCCTTGTTCTGGTAGTGTCAAAGTCAAGGTAGGAAAGAGAAGGTGAGCAGTCAATGTGTGGCAAGGGCTTACGCCATGGGTGGAGCCTGGTGCTGAAGGAGATACAGGACAGCGGGGCAGGGCGATGGCGCGTGAAAACTTACGCCCTGAGGTGTCGCTTCCGTTTCAGCTTGCTTCTCTGTTTCGGTTGCGGGGCCACGCTCGAGAATGAGGTCGCGTAAACGCTCGCGCCGGTCGCCCGGGTTTTCACCGAAGAGACCTGCGCATGAATCACCAAGCAGATCAGACTGAGGTTCATGACCCAAGCAGCAGCGTGGGGGCGCGACGGCATCAAACCGTACAAATAGGTTCGCCAAAGCTACGCAACATCTTCTTCACGTCCATGTCAGCTGCGGGCACATTGAGGGCGCGTGCCTGGGGTGCAGCATTTGTGATGATTGCGATCAGTGGTGAGTTGATGGGAAAGGAGGGTTGACCGATGGTAAAGATCGAGTAAAAGGTGATAAAATTCAGGAGGCGGGGAAGGGGAGGCAACGGGGCGAAGGTTTCCAGTGAACAGACCTTGCGCTTTCGCTCCAAGGCCGCTACGGCCTCATTCTTTTCTGCGAGCTCGGCTTGCTCTTCATTGGTCAGATCCATCCGTTCATCTGGTCACAGTGGCACATGGGACACCGAAGCGGTGAGTGTGACAAAGTTTTCCTTTCAAAGGGCGGGGCCCCCACAATCTCTATGCCCACCGGTTGAACTAATGTTGATGTTGCCGGCAGCAATGCCGGCTTGCACGGCCGCGGAGAGCGCTGCGGGCATGATTCAGTCAGCCAGTGCCCACCGGTGTGAGACCACGCGACGAACAGCGGGAGGGCAGGAAGCAACCGAGTCTTCTTCAGACTGCTGCTTTTGCAGACGCGGTCAGCACACCCACCTGGTTTGGCTTTGGTGGATGTGGCCACTTCATTCTGAGGGTCCGAGGCAGCTTGGCGGCGTTCCTGTTCAGTTGCCAGCTGGCGCTGAATGCGCTCAAAGGCCTGTTCAGCCATGCTGACGGACGGCAGTGGTCTGGCGCCTGGTCAATGAATATAGATCACGTTTACGGAGGTGAAATGGCGGTTGCGGGTCTCCAGTCAGACAATGCCAACAGAACGATGCAGTCGTTTACACCGAGCACCGGTAGAAAGTGACGGAGAGCTGAGCAAGCAAGGCCCAAGCACCAATCTCCGGTTCCTGCACCGCCAACCTCTCACACACACAAAAGAAAAAAAAAAAAAGAAAAAAAGAAGAAAAAAAAAAAAACGTGTGAGTTTGAGAGAGAGAGAGAGAGAGAGAGAGAGAGAGTTTGCGAGAGTGAGAGAGAATTGAAAAAAAAAAAAAAAAAAAAAAAAAAAGAAAGAGAGAGAGAGAGGAAAGGAAAGNCCAAGGTGTAGAGAGACGCACTCATCCAGGGGTGATGGCGGCGCAAATGGGATGGAATCAACCATGAGAGCATGGATGGATGGTCAAATGAATTTTAAACAAGGCAGAGCGAGAACAAGGAGCCACTCGGCCGCCAATGGCTAGGATTGAAGACTGGGGTAGGTGATGGCTTTGTTATTGTCGGAAAGAGTCCCACGCTCGGCTAGATAAACAGCAATTCGCATGGCAGGCTTCCACTCTTGTGGTTCGGGCACTTCGGGGTGGAATGCCTGGTCCATTGCCAGCGCGTGCTTGTGGGACTGCTCGGGAATTCGGGCACAATCGAAATGAGCGCAAGGGACAGGAGTCAAGGAATCCAAGATGGATGCAGTGAAAACAAATGAAAGAAGCAGGAGGTGACCGAGGCCTTACCCTGCGGCGATGACCATCATCCTCGTCTTTGTTTCGGCCACCGCGGCGGCGGCGGCGACCGTCTCGGTCCTCCGAAACCTCCTTTTTGTCCAACTCTTCTTGAGTCAACGTTAATATGCTAGGAGACCAGGGCTCGAGATCACCGCTTCTAAAGCAGTTGGAGCAGTCAAGGCCACCGGCATGCACGATTGGCTTGGGCGCATCGTCGTACACAACGGCCTACAAAGCAGCGACACGTGTAAGCCCATACTTGGCGTTATGCACCTTGTCGGATTGAGTGGGACCAGGCACCAGCAGAGACATGCTTGGTGTCGAGAAAGGGGTGCGGGGGCGGACCTTTTTGTCTGCCAGCAATTGCTCGTGGATGGCATGTGCAAGCAGGGGGCCATAATCGCTGGGGAGGCCCAGTTCAATGATCAAGGACTGAGCAAAGTCTTCTGGAGACCCGGCCCCGTGCTGCCACTCAAAGCTGTCGCTCAGCAGACTAGAGGCATATTGGACCTTGAGCCAGATTGCGTTGGTATGGGTCACAGGCATGACCGGGCAATGAGATGACGCTGTGGGTGCAACATCAGCATCCCCCACACGAAACGAGGAACGGATCAAATCTGGACGAGGAACAAGAAAGCACACCTCTACGCGCACGAGGGCGGAGCGGGTGGAGACGTCCATCATTTGAGTCTGCCTAAAGGCATCTAGTTGCTGTTGTATTGAGTGGGCAAACGTGCCGGCAAAGCGCGAGGGCAGCTCGGCATCCTGGCAGAGTAGCTCGGCAAACAAGGCAGGCTAGGGAAACACATGGAAGGTCATGCAAAACCGATCCGAGTCGGGGGTGAGTGAGTGAGCCTGATGCAGCTGCAACACTGCACATGTCGGCGGCCTTGATGGTTGTAGAGAACCCACCGTGATATGGGGCTCGTTGATGTTCCAGGTAAACTGGTCCCGAAACTTGTAGCCTTCCTTGTCTAGTGTCAGCTTGATTGGTACCAGTTGTTCCTCCAGCGCATCCGCCTCTGAAGCCAGTCCGTGTGGCTTGCTAATTCAACGCGGGCAAGAGGACGGTGGTGATGGCACACAAAGCGGACATGGTATGCGGGATTCAGTCAGAAGATGCGAAACCCGAGCCGTTACTGGAGAAAGAAGGCTGACCGGTAATATTGGCGCAAGGGGTTTGATGACCCTTTGACTGCGCGCTCGGTTCCCGGCGCGCGGGGCGGGATCATGGGGGCATGTGCCGATTGGGTGAGGAGGACAGGGGTGGAGCCAAGCATGATTTTGCGTGACTTGACGGGGCGAGGTTGCCGAAGCAATGGGGCACCATCATCCTCGGCTCGCAAGACATCCACCTCCTCAGCCAATAGGAGGGTCACAAGGGGGGCATGGGCCACGTCCCAGTATTGCAGCAGCTGGCGCTCCACTGCAGTGGCTTGGCGACGATACAAAGAGGGATGGAGTTGATAGAATTGCCACAGCGGGCGACCCATGAAACGGGCCACATCAGTAGCACAATAGTACTCCTGGCCGCCCGGCACTGTATCCACGAGGACAGAGGGGAGCGGAGATTGAGGGGGAGGCGAGGGTTGATAGCGGTTCCACACAAAGGATGATCCATCTGCGAGACGGCGGAAAAGCAAAGCGCACGCACCAAAGCTGAATCGACGCAGCTCGATGCCTTCTTCGGCCATGGTGAAAGGCGACCTGTCAAGTTCCTACTGGGGCGACACACCAGCTAGCCAAGGTGCCCTTGGCCCGAGTCAAATCAAGTCGAGCCGACTCTGGCGCTCCTCTCAAAGCGAAGAGGGGGAAAAGAGTCCCGGTGCCAAACCAAAAAAAAATCAAGTTGACGCTGGGTCCACAAAGCCCCTTCCCCACACACCCACACACACACACACACACACAAGAAAACCCCGTCCACTGCCGCCGAACTGCCAGCTAGCTTTGGGGTGAGAGGGCACTCGGGGAGGAAACCAGGGGGGAGCGCCGAAAGCCCAAAAGGGAGTGTCGTCTCTTCTTTGCTTTTTACAAAAGTTAACGGTCGCCTTATGGGTAAACGATAGTGTGTCAAACACTACACTGACTAGACTGATAATGTGTGATTTTCCTTACACTTATCGGGCACAGACAGACACAGAGAGAGAGAGAGAGAGAGAGAGAGAATTAGAATGAATAAGGAGACACACACACACACACTTTAGAGAGACAGAAAAAAATGAGAGAGAGACACACACAGAGAGCACACACACACACACAGTGAGAAGCGAATTAATTTTTTTGATTTTGTTGGTGTCGTCGTCGAGTGGCTGGAAGTCGGTTGGACGGTGAGTCGGTGAGTTGGTCGGTGAGACAGACAGACAGACTGGCAAGGCGGGTGGTTCTGGATGGATACAAGTGAGGGGGGGGGGGGGGGGGGGGGGGGGGGGGAAAATTTTTTTTGGGGACCT